ATTTGCTAAGTTTTATTGAAATATCCTTAAATTCGCAACTATACAGGACTTGACACTGAAGATAATAAAACTCGGTTCTCACTACTCAAAGTATATTGAGAGAGAAAAACGCCTTGAATTGGAGAATAGCAAAACCAACCATTAATATAATTGCCCCTTAAGTAAAATTTAGGCGCTATTTATAAAAATGAATGTTCATGCGTGACCAGCCACCCTCAGAGGTGGATGATTGTCTTCAAAATGAAATGGGACCACTATGGAGGTACCCTCTTTCCAACAAAAAAATAATCATGAAAATCGGTTCGCAAATACCGGAATTATCGCGTAACATACATACAAAAATAACATAGTCGAATTGAGAACTTCCTCCCTTTTTTCAAGTCGGTTAAAAATGTTGACAAAATGAAAAAACATTTTCTATAAAATTATAAAAAATGTATTATAAAATAGTGAAAATTATAATAAATTTTTTAATATTATAAAAAAAAATATTAAAAAAGCTATTAAATGAGTTTTTTAATTGTCAGTCTGACCTCCCAAGACTAACAACGGCGTGGCATTTTTTTTTATAATATCAAGTGACGGGACGAACAAGTCGTGCGCCTGATGGTAAGCTACACGCCTTTCCATAACAGTTGCAGTGCCACTCAGATCACTTGGTTTTTTTTTTATTAGAAAAACCTGTGCGCTTACACCCATTTAAGGTTTTCCCCACGTTTTACCTCCTAATTTCCAAATGCTTTAGTTTTTGTTCCATTTTTTTAATTTCGAACCATAATTTAATACAGTTTAAAGTCGGATTTACATTTGTCTGACGTGTCGTGTTGTGATGCGTCTGAACGGTATCGGTTTCATACTAATAACGCACACACTCAACATAACCCCGCACTAGGGAAACCCTGTGTCGCGGATGCCACACAAAGTACACCCATACTCACGAGAGAAAGAACCAAACAAATTTTTTACACGGCTTGTTAGTTAGTACACAATATGGTTAGATTTAGTTTAGTTTATCAACATTCCAAATTTCATATAAATACAATTACATGTCATTTTATCCCACTCTTCGAAAAGTGAGCGTCATTTTGCAAAATCTACCTGTCCTTATCACACGCTAGGTGGGATCGGCACAACATGTATTTTTCTTCCATTCTCCCCTATCAGCAGTCATTTTATACTCACACCTTACTTATCTATGTCATCTTTTACACAATTCTTCCATCTTTTCTTTGGCCTTCCTTTCCCCTTATAACCCCCCACATTCTGTCATTCATGTGGTGTATTAGTGTGTCGCCATCCGACGTTACGGCTTGTGCTGTGTGTATGATACCGATACTGTTCTGACGCGTCACGACACGATACGTCAGACAAATGTTAACTTACATTTACAAATCCAGTGACCAGTACTTTTTCCAAAAAAATAAATTAAACAATTTAATATAATTGGCTTGTTCCCTATACTTTGTCGAGTAGTGTATTATAATGATAATAGTACAGTTCTGTAATACATATATATAAGTAGTTATATTCTTACTAAGATTGTCAAAATATACGTAAATATCAAACCGTGGCAAGTTATTGTCTCTTTGCAATATCTGGCAAGGCAGAGCAAAGGCCAAGCCAACAATTAACATTGTAATTATTGCCTTATTTAATAATAAGTGGTTGTTTTAAAAAAAAGAAATAACCTTTTTATATAAAAATACCGACCTCAAAAGTACGTGGAATTACATTTATTTGCCAAATTTTATTGAAATCGGTTACCGGAAAGTGCGCGAAACCGGATTCATCCCCTAGTTTGTTGTGTGTAATCGCGTAACATACACGAAAAAAAAGAAATTCAGTCGAATTGAGGACCTCCTCCTTTTTTAAAGTCGGTTAAAAAGCAAATGTTGACGACCTTTCAGTAGCAGTAGAGCTCCTTGTGAAAGGATACGTCCAGGAGGTACTACCACCTCGCCTATCTGCCGCCAAGCAGTAATGTTAGCATTACTGCATTCCGGTTTTTGAAAGGTTAAGGGTGCTGGTGAAATTACAGGCACGTGGGACTTGACAAGTTATGTCTCAGGGCGACGGGCGTAGTGGCAGTGCCCCTTAGATCTTTGCGATTTAAAGCTCTGAGTGACACTACAATATATTATTATGGGCATAAAATTTATTTCACCCAACTACATTTTTCTTAATAAATTTTTATTTAACACAAATTGAATTGATTTAGCTTATTTTTAAATTAATTTTTTTTTTCAGAAGAGCACTTAAACTTCAGTTATTTTTGATATTAAGAGTCTATACAACCTCAAATGGCTTCGGTTGATTGCGCATAACAGTGAAGGTGTTGAATAAATCGCTTTGGAAAAAATATATAGTAAAATTGTGGATATACACCTGATTACTATACGATGTAAAAACACGGTTTCTAAATTTTCACGATATAAAAAAAAACACATATTTTACAAGAAAATAGCTGTATTCAATAAGTACTTTACAGATTTTATTATATCATTTGAACTAAATAGAATATGTCTAGTATACGTCATACATTTTTCAAATGGCCTTAATTTCGTTTGTAAAATAAATTCTGAAATAAAGCCAGTGACCCTGCCGCTCGAAATTTGAATTCGAGATGTAGTGTTGACTCTTAAAAAAACATGCGTCACTTTTTTAAGAGGGAGCAGAGGAATAATTACTAATCTTCGATTTGATTTTAGAGGGGTATATCCACTTTAAAGTTAAAAATAAAATATTGTATGAGTACTTACACGATATATTCAAGTGTAGACATTAATCAGAAACATAAAACAATAAAGTTTCCTCGATAGATAAAAATCACGAAATGACCTCTAATTTTCACATTTTTTCGATTTATCCTCGAAATGCTACAGGTTATTAGGACAAAAATTAGATAATTAATTATATTTATGCATGATCGACAACTGTTACTACGGATTTTTTTTTTAATCCCTTTAGTTTTAGAGTCATTCCGCTAAAACGAATTTGGTACTTTTAATGCGCAAAATTCAACATCTCATGTCGCATGTTACGCAAACTTTAGGCATATATTTGTTTCACAAATTTGGGCAGAGCCAACGTCAAAACTTTTTTGGCATGAGAGCTCTTAAGCGTAAATGTGGGCAAAAATCACACGAGTTCTTATCTAAAATTATAGTATCAAATTCAATTTACGAATGTTCAAACTTGGCGCTCATTTTTATATTTAAAATAATCGCTCCGTCCAACACTTGTCCATTATTGTTCTAGAACAATAAAGACCGAGAGACGTACAAATTTAAATTAACCGTGAACGTGGACCATTTGTCTAAATTTGTTTAATTGTAATTATTACTTGGAATTAACAAGGTTCAATTTCTAGAAACAAAACTAAAAACAATTTGAAAGTTTACATAATATACTTCCACTAGTTGATTTGTAAAATACTAATATCCTCCCTGGACTGTATTCAGTCAGTAACAGTAGAAATAGTTGTGCAAGAGTTTGTCCAGGGAAGTACTGCCAACTTACCTATTTCTGCCGCCAAGCGGTAATGTGAACATTCCGGTTTTGAAGGGTAAGGGTGCTGGTGAAATTACAGCCACATGGGACTTGTCAACTTATGTCAAAGTCAAATAATAATTTATTCCGTAGGTAAAACTTTTACACTTGAAAACATTGACTTACAATTATATGGACGTCGGGTCCGCGCTAAAAAGTGTCCGCACTTGTAAGGCGCTAAAATGGTATACAGAGCGCCAAACTCCGCTTTAGTCTTCATTTGTTCTACTGACAGCGCGATACTGCGATGACATTACAATTTAAATTTCGAATAGGTTGACTTGGGACATTTTTTTCGTGGTTTTTGTATTAGACCCGTCGTCCATTTATTTGTAAGTCAATGCTTGAAAACGTCATTTTTTAAGCTAATGCTCGTTCGCTACGCTGACCTCCCTGAGAAGAGCAAGCAAGAAACTCTAGGGATTGCTCTTTTTAAATAAACTTAAATGCTATAGAATACATTTTGAATCATATTTGTGTGAAATCTAGACTCACGTTGTTTTTCCACACATCTTTATCTAACAAGTAGTCTACAATTTTCTTATATAACTTTCCAATTAAAATACTTTTCATGTAAGATTTAAACTAAGGAAATGATAAACTTAACATATTTTCCGGAATCTTATTGTAAAAACGTATACAGTTCCCCATAAATGAGTCGTACATGCCTCAGGATGATGGGCGCAGAAGGAGGTACCTCAGATCTTTGCGATTTAAAGCTCTGAGTGGCACTGCAGCTGTTATGGACAGACGTGCCGTTTACCCCGCCTCTCGACACAAGAAAAATGAACCGTATTGTGACGGGAAAAATTTTAATTCAAGTTGAGGTGGTGTCGACTCGTAAACAAAAAGCACCAAATACATAGAGACCTAAACCCTCATTATATCTATACTGTCAACTCTGCAGGCCAAATTTTTAATGCTCTATTCGTGATCGGGCATTTGAGACAAAATTCCGTATGGCAAGTCATATTAGCGCACACGCTAAAAACTAGTCGTTGTTATCGAAATCGATAAGTAGGTAAGTACGATAAGTACTATGCCTATGGATTCTGGTTAATATTAACAAATAATAATTGTTGTCATATTTATTAAAACAAAAATCGACCACTTCGAAAAAAATCCTTTAATCCGGCCTGATTCGAACCGACGTCTTCTAGCAAACCATGCCAGACGCTATGCCAACTAAGCCACTGAACGAACCAGTGGACCTCACGAATTTTTCTATGTGCTTGTTTTTGTCGGATCTTTGTATTTGGTTTTCAACGACTTTTTAGCCGAAGCGCCATCTATGAGAAATCTATGAAAGAATGTCGTGACCCAGTTACCTTTACAAACAAACATCCTGACATTCAATAAATATTTAATAATTATTGTTATCAAAAAAGTAACTAAACTCTAGTAATGTTTTCTGCAAATAAATTGAACTTATTCATATTTGTCTACAGGACGTGAACACAGACGCAAACACCGACGGTACAATGCGAGCTTTAGCATCGGCAGCGAAGCTGGTGCCCTACGATAGCGCCTTGTTCGTGGTCACTGACAAAGGACCTGGAGACAGCCAGAGACTGCCGCTTGCTTTAAGGGCACTAGTCGAGAAGAGATTAAAGGTATTCGACACACATGCTATTTACGATCAGCATTACCATGGACCAAAATTGAAATTTTCTTGAAATCACTGGTTATGGTAACTCCATTGAGACTACACTGCATGATTATAATGCAATTATGATAATATTGTTGCAATGGCCGTTGAGTTTTACTAGTGTCAGTGTCACTAACGACTGCCGTTGCCTTGCTAAATCTACAGTGGAAATTATCCCGTTCCAGCTGCCAATTAGTATTCAAATGAAATGTATTATGTGTTAAGTAATTAGTAGACTACGCCGTGGACTTGTCATAAATAAATAAATATAAATAACGCACACACTCAACATAGCCCCGCACTAGGGAAACCCTGTGTCGCGGGTGCCATGGACACACACATAGACAACCACAAATTACACCCAAACTCACGAGAGAAATAAATGTAAGCCATACAAACATTTCTCCCGGCCCGGGAATCGAACCTGGGACCTCTGCGTGGCAGTTCGGCGTGGTAACCGTTCGGCCACGGAGGCAGTTAATAGACTCGCCATTGAATAGGAGAATACGAAAAAACAGCAATGACAGTTGAATAGTAGCTCAATGGTTAGCCACTGATAAGCCACAACTCTTAGGGTCGTATTCTAGAACTCTACTCAATACTCAAGTCAGGACTTGAGTATTGCGTGAGCACTGAAAATCATATATATATACTCAAGTCCTTGCCATTAGGGTCGTATTTCCAGTGCGTGAAATCATACTCAAGTGTGCTCAAACCGTGACTTGAGCTTTGAGTAGAGTTCTGGAATACGACCCTTAGAGCGGTTACAAACGCGATGCGGTCGCTAATCGTCTATCTTTACACACGCGCGCGATTTTAAGCAGCGATGCAAGCCCGCGACTACATCGATACAAACGCGCGATTGCATCGCTACACTTGGGATTTATAGGCGATTACATCGATCCAAAAGTCGCCATGTGTCCTCTTAACTTTTAACAGAATACCAAACGTATAAAATCCTATCATTAACCCTATCGACACACAACTGAGGTGTTCTAAAATTAGCAGACTTGGGCCCTGTATTTCTACCATGAGCTTACAGCGTTCAAATTGCTAAAGACGGCTTAAGCATTTGTGTTGCAAACTATACCAAACTGTACTTCAAATTGTTACCATGGGATCTGTAATGAACGTGAAACATTGGTTCGTTTGAAAGAACAAATATTCACGATTTAGATCCGAAAAAATCAGTTAGCGAAAACCTGACAAACCGATAAAATTTACCTAAAAAATACGCGTTTCTAGGACTGTAAGCTCATGGTAAAGGTTAAGGGCGTTCCGCAGTGTGCACCTAAGGTCAATCGGTGTAGAGTTGATTTTCACAAAAAATTTTTAGCTAATTAGGATGCACAGATTGTTTTGAGGTCAATTTACAAAGCGAATGTCTATGTACTCTCGGAAAGAAGCAAGGTCGAAAGTACACCGCGTACATCAACGTGTTTTTGTGGGATGAGGCGAATAAATAAATATCGTGCATCATATAAAGAAATCCACAAATTACACCCAAATTCACGAGAGAAATAAATGTAGGCCGTACAAATATTTCTAATATTCGAATTTCTAAGAATAGAAATCGGGTCTTCTAGTGTGGCTGACCAGCACAGTAACCATTCGGCCACGGCGGCAGATAAGAGTAAACAGAGAAGGTATCTCAAGATGATATAGCATGTGGAAGATGCGGAAATGTTTTAAAAATCACAAGCTTGTCATAGTTGCAGGCAATCTTCAATCTTACGTGGTGAAACTTAGAGATCCAATCAGATCCAAATTCTGTATTCAAAGAACACTATACCAAGGGGAAGCTTCCCATTTCATAAAATAAAAAATAACACCTGTATAAAGTAATACTATAACGCATCGAAAAATGAATTCAAAAAGACCGATCGACAAAAACGGGTTTGGAGTTCCGACAAATTTCAATGACAATAATAATGGAGTTTCAAAAAAACAAAAAGTGATTAAGAATTGGGTCAGACAGGAAACGATTATATTGCTTTTTTTCATTAGCTGCATCGGAATGTCAAGGCGGTTGATAATGATCTGTACTGTATTAATCCATATCCCGTTGTTGCTCACGGCTCCCTGAATGGAGGATTTAGACTGGAGTTTGCCACGTTAGCAAAGTCGTCAGGGATATTGAAATTACGCGTAACTAGCATTTGATTATGAGTTTCCATTTCGGTAATTTAGTGGCCTAATCAAATCCGAGCAAATGTCGTGGCAACCAAATTAGCGTGATATACGGGAATCTATTGTTATCAGTCCGTAGACAACATAAATTAATGCTTACTGTGCAAAAATGAAAACATTGAAATAACAAAGTAATAGAATAGAATAGAATACGTTTATTTGCCAGAATACAGCAATGATAAAGGTCTTAAATAAAATTAGGTACATTGTATTGATCAAACAGATGTACAAATATTAATTTCATGTTCGGTTTCTACTGTTAATTGCACTTCAAATTAATGTAAATTTGTATTTGGAAATTCTAAATATTCTGTATTACTATATAGAAGCAATGTGTGAAAAGCCATTTTATCAATTGTAATTTAAAAGTATGTCCTTGCAACAATTGAATTTAATTTGGCAAATTGTTGAAAATAATTAGACACAAGTTGAAGCAGTTTGTTCATAAATTACTTTATGGCAACGAGGTTGGTATAAAAGATTCATAATTTTTGTTCTAATCTGCCTTTGATTAATTTCACCACGTGTTTTGAAAAACTTAGAATAAGTTTTGACAAATACACAGTTATCCCTAATGTACATGCATGGCAAAGGCAGTATGTTTAGTATTTTGAACAACGGTTTACAGCTGTTGTCGAACCACGCACCGCAGATCGCCCGAACACACTTCTTCTGAACCTTAAAACGCACTTTCTACGCGCACTAATAACTTTAAATTCCTGTACTGTGAAATTGGGTTTGGTGCAAATACGCGCCTTTTACCAATACAACATACGCGGATTTGCACTATCTCCAACGAAATGCGGATTGATTTCACTGGTCTTATAGATTTCATATCTATGTTTAGTCGCCGTTTAAGCAAATTATTTTTAGTAAACTGACACTATACATGATATAACCAGAAATAGGGACGAAATAAGGGCCATCCATCCCTGGCAACTCATCAGGCAAATGGGTCTTACATCACTTTTAAATGTCAACTCTCGTTTGCGCTGAAATCACAAATTAGAAAGCTGAAAAAGTACAGCGGCAACAACTGCCCTGTGTGTACGTCTCAGTATATTCCAAAACTATTCTATATTTATTATAATAAACATAACATCTCTAACTATGGGGGGCTGTTCCGTTCGGGGGTGTGGGAAAAACAGCAAAACATCTAATTACAAAAAAAAAGAAATCACATTTAAATTTTGTTATTTTCGTGCATTATAGCAAAGCTCAAGTTAAACTGGCCGATCTGAAGTGAAACAATTGACAATACCCGTCAATTGTTTCTAATTCGGGTTGGCCAATCGGAGCTCAATTGTCACCGTAATGATTTGGCGGAACAATTTTCAAACAAATTAAATTATATTTCGTCTCTATTTCTGGTTATATACTCGATGCTCCTGGTACACATCTTCTTCTTAACGTATCGATGGCATGCACTATAAAACATTTGCCAATCGGCCGGCGTAAGGAACTAGCCGATTGTTGCCCAGGATACGCCAGACATACAGAAAAGCAATGGTATGTCGTGCGGGGAGGCTACTTTCGTATACTGGTAGGCAGCGAATTCGACCATCCAAAGAAGGGAGATAAGCGTTTTTCTTTTAATGAGGTTATGACTGCGTTTTATGGTCAAACTACAAGTAGTTTGTTTCTACAGGTATACACAATTTGGACAGACCCATCTCATCCTTCAAACGCATCTGAACTACAGCTACAGAGTCTAAGGAACATCTCCAAGCATACTGAAGGCGGCGTGCTGCCCTATTCGTTTCAAGTTATGGTAAGTATTTTACGGTAGACAAAAAATATTTTTACTAGTAAAACAGAAATGACTGAGACGGACCCACTTTTCCTTTGCCGTATCCACCACCTTGGTTATACGCGTCGAATTTTGGGAAAAATACTTTCACAAGGTTCTTTCTGCAGCTCACTTTCCTGTCTCCTTACAATTTCTTCCAATAAAGTCTGTCTCCTCCTGCTCCTTTTCCTACAAATACGCCTCCAGTGTTGCAATCTTCTCATTCTCGGAAGTCCTCTGTCGGTGCCGTTTGTCTTCTCAGAAAGACGATCAAAGCTTGAGGGTCGAGCGGTTGGAGTCCCGCCACAGCGTAACTTTTAATTCGCTTCTAGTGAGATTGCCGACCGAACATCTGTTGACCTTCATGAAGGAAGTGTTTTGGCCGAAGGGTGTCATACTGGGTGTCTGACGTAGGGTATCTGACACCAGATTGCGCAATACATGTAGATTAGTTATTTAGTTTATTTTAAATATATGGTATGTATGTTAGTCCTTAAGGTATATATATTATAGGGGACACGTGGCCTGAAATAAATGTCTAAATAAAAATAATAATAATAAGAAACAAAAGAACAACTATTTTATTCAGTTTTATTAGAGCGAACGAACAATAAATACGCTAATCCATTTCGGGATGACATAAGCGTCATTATTATATGTGTTATATAAGGTATTTATTCCAGGATATGGACAGCAGTTCAGGCACGGACTTAAACCAATGGGAGGCAATGAAGCAGCCCAGGAAAGGAAGAGTTCATCCCATATTTGAAGAAGATAACATGGATGTAAGTTTTTCAAATAATTGTAACTAAAATATACCATTGGTAGCCATACCAATTAGAAATTAGGACCAAAGGCTTTGCTAAAGCTATTTCCAAATGCATACAAACTTATACTGATCTATAAAGTAAGAATAAACCAACAAACTTTACAGACCTGCACGGAATCAATAATGAAAGAAGCCTACATTTTTCAAGTAATTTAAATTCATTTTTTGGAATATAATATCTAACCTCCAAATCTTCGCTCAACGAAATACAAAAACGCGGTTTTAGCTGAACTCATTTCTTTTATTCTAGACGCTTCTAGTGCGAAGAGGTGGTGGTGAAGCGATATCTCTAGGAGTGCCAGTGGAGAACGGGGTTTCAGCTCTCAGGATCTACATCGAGGGTCTCGTGGAACATGCAGTATTATATCCTCCTAATGATGGTATGTTATTTATTAAAGATATCTGATATAATATCGGTGATAGAACGAACAAGTTATGCATCTGATAATTAGCGGCACGTCTGCTCATAATAGTTGCAGTGCCACTCGAAGCTTTAAACCGAGACTAAAGTTGGCAAGTACCACGTGCTCGTTTCACCAGCACCCTTCCCCTACAAAACCGGAACACAGTAATGCTTACATTACAGCTTAGTGGAAGAAATACGTTAACTGAAATGTAACTGCTCTCCCCACTAAGTTATGTCCGGCTTTCGCTGGACACCGCGACTGACATCTGTGGTACTAGTCCGGAGAACTAGTAGAGGTTAAGCTATTTGAAATTGGAGAGACACAGAGTCAAGAGATGAACGTGCCGGCAACTCCGGCGCCAAAGCGGAAAGGTAGGAGAAATGCACCCGCTCACCCAACTAGCCTTTTGAGTCAACGGGCTAATCTGGGTTTCCGGACCTGACAGACAAAATCCCTATGCAGGCTTGCTTGCATAGATAATAGTGGCAGCCCGGTATAACCAAAAGATTGGCTAGAGTAGGCACTATAATCAAAACTTAGTAGAAGATATGGGACTGCTCTACTCGCTGGGCGCTACCACACCTGTCGTATCATAAACTTCCTCAATTTAGAAACAAATAAATATACTCGAAAACAAATTATATTTAATGCAACATAACGATCAATTTGCGAACTCTTTGCCGAGCAATTTGTGTGACACGGGACAATTATTATGTCAACTGTAATAAGAGCAATTTTCTCGATCATACGCATAGCATTTTATTATTTCTATACTTTGTATGGGAGTATTTTTACTATAGATGGAAATGAGTTCTAAATTTAGAAATACTTAAAAATAATCACATAAAACTAAGTACCTTTCAACAGAACGCAAATATTCTGAGAATATTCCTGACCATCCATCTACAAACAAGTCGCAATCAGAGTTGGTGGCAAGGAGAATTGAGCTCCGACAGGGATCTTGACCGTGTCAAGAGGCTTATAGGGGTCTCGGATATAGTAGACGCAATATTGCAAAGCCTTGAATAGCGTCGTAAAGTTGCCTACTTATCGGTATTCTAAAGGATATATCACGAAGAGTGTGGGATGGAAATTCCGCCTTCCTCTTACCATCATCGGGGGACTAGACGTACCACCCCTATGTTGTGGATATACCACGAATTCGCACAAAGCGTTTTGCTTCAATTTTATTTGACGAACTTTTGCCTTGAACGCTATAACATGGGCCTTTTCGAGGCGAGAGTGAATAGGTATTGTTTAGGTGTCCATGCTACATCGTCGACCTCATCGTCACGTCCATCAGGTGAGATGGAGGTCAAATACGCACTTATTTTTGTAATAAAAAGAAAGGATCGCGGTACACTTCGGGATTAGCGCGTGCTACAGTTCGGGACAACGAGGTGGCAAACTACTTGTGTCCTCTACTGCGGTGATAGTTGTTAGAAGCATAGAGTCGACACAGCTCATCATAAAAATCTGTTTTGTGTATTTACTATGATTAATTATAACAGCTATGAATAACTTGCTGTTTTTCATGTAGTGTCAATAGTGGTCCAATCCAAACTAGTTCCTGAACTTAACCTTGACGAAAAAAGAGGGGAGTTATATAATTTTGAAGCCACTGTCTGTGTTGTGTGTCTGCCTGTGGCATCGTAGCTTCCATACGGAAAGATTTGAAAGAGGTTTTTTTGTTTTAAAGCTACTTTAATCGGAATGGTTCTCGTTTATATTTGGTGAATATTTATTTGGCCTAAAGCCCCAGTAACTGCACTACAACTTCCACCTTCAAGAAAGAATTTGATGTGGTATATTGGTAGCAGGAAGGTTTTACACTGAAGTCCGTTTTTTAAAAAAATCCCTTACTTTCAGCTCCTCAAATAGACCTGTACAACATGACGTCTGTGATGATGTTTTCTCCGAAGTCAAGAACTGAGGGTCTGTCTCCGAGGGATGTGTATTTGGTCTTCCCAGGAGCTGATCCAGAGGCTGCTATGTGAGTATATTGTAAAAAAATTCTCGAGTTGCGACCACGTTTTTGATAATGCGGTGAAACGGCGTCACGAGTCGCGACACCTACTTTTAACACCGAAGGGTTATACGAAACGCATGAAATGCGTGAAAACCAATGTGAACTTTATATTAACCAAAGCCGCTCTCTGAAATCGTTATCTTTGTTTCAAGTGCTTAATTACCGAATTGATTTTGAAAGCATACCATCATCGGGCACATGATGGATCAACATCAACTGAAATTGTGGTAAAACGTGCCTATTATTTATGGAAAAGAAATTATAAGAGGTCTTTTAAATTTCAATGATAATACTCCAACCATTCCAAAAGCGGAATATTTCCCAAGAAATATTATATTGAAATATTTAAATAATTAAGTTCTACAAAAAAATCTATGATGTGTAGTTGGCGTTACAATTGGCTATCACTAAACCGTATATGGTCGGGTCAGTGACTTGTTTGTTTACTTTTTGTTCAAAATGGATTGAAACGAACACACAGCTAGCGTTAAAGAAATCTTAAATCGTAAAGGGTGGAAACTTTGCTAAAGTTATTGGTCGCAGGCCATATAAACGAATTCCGTTTGCTATTTGCGGTAGGTTTTGTGGAAATTAGTGACTCGTTACGTTAATGCTCAGTTAGGTCCCTTAAGTGAAACCTCGGGCAGAAGCTCGGGGTAGACGAGATTTTTTTTAATAACATCAAGTGACGGGACGAACAAGTCATGCGCCTGATGGTAAGCTACACGCCTGTCCATAACAGTTGCAGTGCCACTCAGAGCTTTAAATCGCAAAGATCTGAGCGGCACTGCCACTGCGATCGTCACCGTGTGACGTAAGTTGACAAGTCTTATGTGCCTATAATTTCCCCAGCACCCTTACTTAGGATTGCTCATTTCAAATAAACTTAAATACTATGGAATAACACTTTGAATCAAATTTGTGTGGAATCTAGACTCATGTCATCTTTCAATACATCTTTATCTCAGACATAGTTTCCCAAAGTGATCCCAACCAGCGGGCGCTGCAGAGTCCTAGCAATTAAGGGGCGTTGGTGCGGTCCAGCGGGTGCAACTGCATTTGAAAAAAAACTTCAAATTTTTTTATTGTAATTTTTTGCGTTAAGTTCATTGACTTACAATTATATGGACGTCGGGTCCGCGCTAAAAAGTGTCCGCACTTGTAAGGCGCTAAAATCGTATACAGAGCGCCAAACTCCGCTTTAGTCTTCATTTGTTCGACTGACAGCGGGATACTGCGATGACATTACAATTTAAATTTGGAATAGGTTGACTTGGGACATTTTTTTCGTGGTTTTTGTATTAGACCCGTCGTCCATTTATTTGTAAGTCAATGGTTAAGTTAATATAAAAAAGTTTTCAATTATTTTTTGTGCTGGCGGGCATTTAAATATTTTTATCTTGCCGAAGTGACCGGTGCGCCAAAAAGTTAGGGAACCTATGATCTAACACGTAGTCATCAAATTTGTAATATGTCTTTTCAATTAAGTTTTAAACTTACGAAATGATAATCTTAATAATGTCTCTGGAATCATATTGTAAAAACGTACACAGTTCCCCACAAAAGAATCGATTACCTTAGTTAAACGAAATCGTGGTACCATGAGTTAGGACTTAAAAGTTAATATTACGCATATCTTTTTTCTTAATGACAACTATAGTTAGCTGCCACGGACTCGGTGGAGCGAAAAGCAAAGAGACTTATTATTTAGAGATTATTAAGAGACTTATTAACAATAATTCTCTTGTGGAGTCGAAGCAACAAAATTTCGACCATCGCAGAAAAGTAGCCTGTTTGTCGGTTATCTATCGGATATATTTCGGGGAGTGTGCGCGCAGGAACGTTTCAATTGGTTCCACCTCACCGTTCCTCCTTCGGTCGACCAGTAGGTCCGGAACAGTCTATTCTTATGTCGTTGATATTCCACCTGTTCGCACTAAGCGCTTTGCTTCCTCCTTTCTGATGCGTACGGCAAAGGAATGGCAATTTAGGGCTATCCAAGGCTAGAGTGAAAAGGCATTTTTTAGGCAATCGCGTTCCATCGTCGGTCACATCGTCGCTTAACATAAGGTGAGATTGTGGCCAAGCGTGTATCTATTACATATTTTGAAAAAAAAAATGTATGTTTTTACAGGCATATAAAATATTTGAGTAAGTGTACTGTGATGCCACACAGTATGGTGTATTTTACAGATTTGTAAATAGTTCGAAAAGAGAGGATTAAATAATCACAAAGCACATTGTTCCAGCATTTGTGTCTTGCATTAAAAAACTTCTTTTCCATCAGGTTATCTGTGCTACCAGTAAAACCGACATTATCAGAAGCTCCCGCGCCTACGGTCGGCGTTTGGCATCTAAGTGTCCGTTGTGACACTTGCGACTACAGGCTATGCGTCACTGCGCACACGCAGATACACTTCTACGCTGAACCACAACCTCGAGGTAATATTTTGTTACTACACTCAACAAAAGTGTCCCTTTTTTTTTTTAATATCATGTGATGGGACGAACAAGTCATGCACCTGATGGTAAGCTACACGCCTGTCCATAACAGTTGCAGTGCCACTCAGAGCTTTAAATCGCAAAGATCTGAGGGGCACTACCACTGTGCCCGTCACCCTGAGACATAAGGTGACAAATCCCATAAGCCTGTAATTTCACCAGCACCCTTACCCTTCAAAACCGGAACGCAATAATGCTAACATTACTGCTTGGCGGCAGAGTAGGTAAGGTGGCAGTACTTCAATGACTTCTGGACAAGTGAAGCACGAAAATCAGGTTTTTACAGAATTCTTTTTAACACCAATGAATGAATTTCATTTTCATTCAAATTATAAAATAAACCAGAAAAAATCCATCGTTTTGTTGTAATTTTATTAATACAAAGATAGACGAAGACGAAAGAGAGAGAAAGACAAACACTTAGAAAAAATTCCTTCGATGCGACTGGATTCGGCTTAACTGTTTCCATGGCCGAACGGCCGGAAGAAATATTTGTATGGCCTACATTTATTTCTCTTAGTTAGTTTGGGTGTAATTTGTGGTCACCCGTGAGATGGTTTCCGTAGTGCGGGGCTATGTTGAGTGTGTGCGTTATTATAATATTTTTATTATTCGAACCAAAGCGTCTTCCCCTACATTTTTAGCTCTATATCTATAAAAAAAAACAAAACAAAAACCCACTTGCGTACTAAACTGAAAAGAAATTATAAAAAAGTGACCACAAAATTTGTGGAATTAAATATATTTGCCAAGTTTTATTGAAAACGAATAAACCAAATTCATCCCCTAATGTGCCATCCTTAGAAGCAACATTATTTTCTTCAAATATAAATGGGACCACGGAGGTATTTCTTTTCTAACAATAAAAGAATCATTGAAATCGGTTTACAAATGTCACACAAAAAAATGCAGTCGAATAACCTCATCCGGGACCCTCGTCCTTTTTTCCAAGTCGGTTAAAAACAATCTATAGAATTCTGTAATGTTAAATGCGTTTACGCCCTTCCTTACCTGAATTGTCGATACGTTATTATAGAGTTAAGATATACTTATACACGGTGATATTATAAATAATATAAAAGAAAATCAGTGACCAGACAAAAAAAATATAAACGTTGATTGGGTATTATATCATTTGTAACAAAAAAATCTCAAAATCTTATTAACCAGTTAATGTTGTGATGTTGAGTCACTTCTCAAATCAACATGAAGTGGAGCCACTAAAAAATTTTGTAGAGTGACCACGGTTTTTGTTATCAAAAAGATTGGAAAAAAAAACTCTGATTTTGAAATCGAAATCTGTGATGACCGGATGAATGGATTTCAAATTTAGAATCAGTGTGATTCGTATTTTAAACTTAAAATCAGATAATTTGTAAAAAGATTTCAAATTTAGAATCGCATATTATTTTTTATTTCATCTACTCGTTGTTTTGTAACTTTCGGAAATTACTTTTTTTTTTATTGTTAGCCCTATATAGCTAAAAGAACTGCAGAAACTAGCGATATAATTTAGAACTTGGGTTTTCACAGTCAAAAGACGATATTGTCTGAGCATTCAGTGTAAAAAATGTATATAAAAACCATGTATTAAGGTTCAAATACTTCCGTAGTAAGCACTCAATAGACGTTCACTTTAAAGTAACTCTGTTACATTTTCACGCCTAAGCCGCTGACTCAATTGTGATGAATTTTGGTATAGAGATATGTGGGACTTAGGATAGGACATGGGCTACGATTTGGAACAAAAATAAATCTCAAAAATAAGATATGTAAGTTTGTATGGAAAACCAATAAAAGTAAGTAAATTAGTTTCTAGTAAGTAGGTAAATTCTTGTCTTTGATAGTATCCAATAATAGTGATTTCAAAGTTTAACAAAAATCATGGTCACCCTCTACTCCAAAAACATTCACGAAACATAAAAACACAGTGTAAGTAGCAGGAAAATAAATCGAAATTCATAGTACATAAAAATTTAATTACATATATATATATAGGACATTACACAGGGTTATTTAAAAAAAGCTAACAACCTCGCAGAACTATAATATTAACATCATAAACAACAACTTTAGTTCCACGGCTTAATAATTAATCAGATTTTACTTTGATACAAAAATATTTAAATAGAAATATCGCTCTCAACGTTGATAGCTGTGTGCGGTAGCAAAAAATACCAGATCGATGCAAAACGCAGGAGTGGGATGGGGGTTTATAATACCAAGTGACGGGACGAACAAGTCGTGGGCCTGGTGATAAGCGACAATGCATGTCCATAACAGTTGCCGTGGCACTCAGACATAAGTTGGCAAGTCCCATGTGCCTGTAATTTCACCAGCACTCTTACCCTTCAGAAATAGGTAAGGTAGCAGTACTTCCCTGGAAGAACTCTTTCACAAGGGGCTCAACAGTTACTATTGTATGAGGTTGAGGTGTAATAAGCTCAATTTATCTATCTCGTTTATAATGTTTAGTCACAATACACACACAAAAAAGCACATGCCTCTTATGCTAAAAAAAAAGCAAAAATATAACCTCGTACTCGATGACAGGTTGACAGGTGGCAGTCCATCTTCCTAAAATGCCAATGCACCTTTTCTAGGTCATGGTTCGCACATCTTTAACACTTTTAAAAGTAATCCTTAATTTTGTTTCGCCATGGTTAAAATTTGCAAATTTAAACATCGTTTTTTTATTTATTTTGATCCCTACCGTAAATACACTTATATCCCTACCCTAAATACACTTTTATCCCTACCAAGAATAATATAGATTTTAACACGTGATTCACTAAATAATTATCATAGGTTTTAAATAATAAATAATTTTGCACGATTAAATCGTTCTTTCTTCACTGAATTTGCGGAGTGGCAAAATATTTACTTCCATTTTTATTAAATTTTAATCCCTACCGAAAATAAATTTAATAGCAATTTGAGTCCACGCCACGGTGCTTCAAATAATTAGCTGACAACGCCATCGACAAAAAAAATGTAAAAAAAAATACAGTGAAACTGAGAACCTCCTCCATTTTTGAAGTCCGAGGTCATCAGCCTTATTTCTTACTTATTTGATAGTTCAGTATTGAATGAGATATCGGGAGGCACCACATTTAGGACGTGTTGATGTCGGTTAAAAAAGAAATGGCGGCGGTCGCATTATTTCTATGTCAAGGACCAAGTTGCTTTGAGATTTGCTATCTGTTTACTAAATGACATAACAACTGACGTTCAAGAAAGTAAGTAACGTTACAGAGGCCGTTTTGATATGCGTGAGTTTATGCGAACGTTGTTTTTTTTTATACAGACTTAAGGTTTACCGACCCCGAAATAGACGCACACATATTGAATTTTGACGTCAATTTAATTCTCAATAATTCCGCAAAATGGCGGAAGGTTTTCTCGGACTTGCCGAATTTTATTATTATCACTTATTATGCATTGGCTATATAACCATCATTTAAAAAAATAATAAATAATTAAGAAATTTATAAAGGCTATAATATATTTAGACTAAAAATTAATTCCTGTAAAACTTTAACAAAAAATGCGTCATTTTTTCTCTCGACTATTTTGAGTAGCCAATTGCATATACAGAGAGTTCTTTACTTGAATGTATATATTTTAATTTATTGACTTTGGAATCTTACAATTTTTATGATTTGGTTTAATGTACTTTCGTGTATTTAGTCTAGTATAGATTTTACGTATGTACTACCGATGTGTGTTTAACAATATCTATTTGTCTAAATACTATATAAATAATCACCGAAATGTATTTCGAAACAAATAAAATCACCATTGCACGAGAAACAGAGTAAACAATACCTATTTAAAAAAAATTATAGCTGCAATAACAAAAAACATAATGATATAACCGTGTAGGTAATAAAAAACACGAGTTCATCAAGACTGTAAACTGATTTGTAGTAATTAATTAAACCTTTTACATTAACGCTGTAACACAGTTTAAAAAACAGCTCGAAAAAAGAACGTTTTCGATTTCTTTCAAATGATTCACTGAACTTAATTTAAAACTGATGGCAATCAAAACTACATGAAAATATGTAAAATGTAAACGTTTATTTACTGTAACCACACAAAACTAAGTACAAAGAAAACGTTCCCAAGATTAATTGAAAAAAGAAAAAAAACGTCAAAATTTTGCCGCGAACTAAAACAAATATAGCGCGTAATTAACACGACCGCTCGTATCTATAATAGATTGTGTAACTAAATAAAGTTCAATTATTATCGAAGGAACTTGTCAAGTCATGAATAGTACTATTTTTATTGATATAAAATCGTTTTTGTGCGTTTGTTTGTTCCGTCTAAAGTACGAATAACACATATACATCGTACGTTTATAAGTTTTGAGACAAACTTTGACTTAAAAAATAAAACAAAATAATACTGACAGCTGTTTAATTCTTTTTGACATTGGAATTTGGATTTATTGTGTCCTATTTGTATGTTTTTAAATTAATTTATATTATTTGATTGAGGGAACAAAACAATTACGTGCGACTGTATTCGCTATACCGGGTGGAAATTTGTAATGCCACCTGGAGGGAAAGTACTCTAAATACTGGAGATACAAATTTTTACTCAAAGGAAACATTCCTTTATTTTTTAAAAGAAATAAAACTGCATTCAAAGATTTCGTATCCATAGATCGAACCCGCTTTAATCTGAAAAAAAAATGCACCCTGCATTTTTATTGCATCGATCGATAGGGTTAATTATAAGAATAAAATCTCTCTCACAAAATTGGTCAATTAAATGAAAAAAAAAAAACCATGAAATCTCAACGTATTTTAATAAAATGAAAAAAATGGTAATTTATATGAAAACTATCAGTACTTTGAAAGGGTATGTAAAAACAATCAAATGGAAATAAAAAAAGACAATCCATTTTCAAATAAAACATTCCATATTAAAAATTACCTCATGCCACTGACCAAAGAGTCTGCATTACAAACATGTGCAAATTGCAATCTTCTTATTTAAATAGTACTTCGTCATTTTAAAGGATAAATGACGTCAACGATAATTAACAAGTAATCTGATGGACCTTTGAGTAAAAGTGCTTTAACTTGACCCATTGAATTTATAACTCCAGATTTCATGGTTTGTACAGATTGTTTTTTTTTTAAAGATTTTAGCTGGTTCGATTCCCGCGTGTGGCTAGAAATTTTCGAAAATCTTTGAATGCAGTATTATTTCTTTTTAAAAATAAAGGAATGTTTCATTTAAGTAAAAATTTCTATCTCCTGTATTTAACGTACTTTCCTTCCAAGTGGCATTATAAATTTCCACCCTGTATATGGCGGGTAAAAAACCAATGGAAATTTTTCGTAAGAATGGCCACCTCCAGTCTTGATCTTAACCCAATTGACTATTATTCTTTGTGGGCTGAATGGAGCTCAGGGCCTGCCAAAAGTCCCACCCAAACTTGGTTTCTCTAAAGAAGCCAACTGAAACCCGCTGGAGAAGGTTCGTGCCGCAATCCAAGATTGGTCAGAACGTCTAAGAGTTTGTATTGGAAATAGATGCGGCCATTTTGAGTAGTAAATACTGGCAATTATTGGTTGGTGTCTACTTATAATCATGTAAAAGTTTGAAAAATATAACTCAGTCCTTATGAAACTTTTATGTCGTCTGGAAACTTATGAACACACTAATTAGAAAATTGTTATCGAAAATAATTTTTTAAATTTATTTTTTGAGTCCGAGAGGGCCATAAACAAAGGCGCCATGAAGTTATTTACCGACCGCATTATTTCATGTTACATACATATACGCCTTTTTCCCATCGGGGTAGGCAGAGACAACAGTCCACTTGCTACGGTCCGTACACACATCTATCGCCTCATGAACACGCATCAGTGCTTTCAATTGAAATTAGTTGAGGCTGTTGTTGTGAACGCCGAAAATGCCTGAGATTAAAACGAAAAATTACAACCAGGCCCACGACTTGTTCGTCCCGTTCCTAGATATCACAAAAAAAGAATTAAAGTGATTTTTCTTCTCCGTCGATGAACTTAATAAAAAAATAAAAATTTTGCGGAACTTTGTGTTTTTTTATCGAGGGAAGTTTAGTCTATCGTATTTCGGGCCCCATAGTTCACTACCGATGTTTTGTGTTTTCATCATTGACTTACAAATAAATGGACGACGGGTCTAATACAAAAACCACGAAAAAAATGTCCCAAGTCAACCTATTTAAACGTAGTGACATGTAAAGGAATATGAAAAAGCTTTTAAATTGTAATGTCATCGCAGTACTGTCTAATTTTGCATGCTTCGCTGTCAGTCAAACAAACGAAGACTAAAGCGTGAATGACGCTCTGTATACGATTTTAACGCCCCATAAGTTCGGACACTTTTTAGCGCGGACCCGACGTCCATATAATTGTAAGTCAATGGTTGTCATTAGCAATAAAAAAACTACTTGGATTCGTACAGAAAACCGTTTTTCGTGTGGTCGAATTAAAAGTTGCCCGTGCGGTATACGGTTCATTTTGCTTGGGTCGAGCAGCAGGGACACTGGCCTTATTGCAGGATTTTTTTCAAACGAAATCAACGCCGTTTGAAAAATGTCTATCGTATAGTATACGTGTTCTATTTAGTTCAGTTGACATAAAAAAAACATTGGTATATATAAAGTACCTAATAAATACAGCGGTTTTCTTGTAAAATTTCTAGGTAAGTTTGTGATTTTTTTCTATAGTGAAAATTTTTAGGAATTGTGTTTTCACACCACGTACTAATCAGTTGTATTTATATCCTCAACAACAATATATCCTCACAACAATATATTTTTTTCCAAAGTTATTGATTCAACACTTTCACTATCATGCGGAATCAACAAAAGCCATTTGAGGTAGTACAGACCCTTAACAAGGGAATATGAAAAAGAAATCACAAACATAGCTAGTTAATTATAACACTGCGCAACTGCATGGTTGAAATAATAAGGATTAGATTATTTGTTTTAATCTGTTTTAATTTATTACGGATAATGTGTAATCCGTTGTGTAATTTTGTTCAAAAAGATAGAGCCCAACCCTTTAGTGCGTATTTAATCAAAACTTGATAAACCGGCGAATGATTTAGTTGGTTAGTGCAATAACGCTCTTCCGACCGTATATAATAGAATTCAGATTTCCTGACTCTGCACGAGATTTTATATTTTACTTACTATAATTAATAATAAAACTACCACACAAAATTAAGTACAAAGAAAACGTTCCCAATATTAATTGAAAAAAAAAGATGTCAAAATTTTGCCGCGAAATAAAGATGACGTGTAATTTAATTCGACCACTGTACCTATTGTATTTTAAATTATATTTTTGAACGTATTTTCGATCAATTAGATATCTGTTATTAGACAACGACTAAACGTAGTGAAAAAAAGCTGTCCAAGTTTTATAATCCGCAATTCTCGGATTCGGAACGGATACGGATCGGAAGCACTACACAAACGCCCTTATAAACACGAAATCGCGTTAAAAAACTAGTCGGTACAATAGCGTCGGCAACGGTCAGAACTAAAACGAAACGCGCAACTTCTTTTTCGCCCTTATTGCATGGAGAGAATGATTATTCTGGTAGGCTCAAGCCGTGTAAATGTGGTAACTCTCATAGTCGGATATAATTACGACATCGCAATCTTTTGTACGCACTAATCTATGTCATGGCTAAAGAAGAAGGAAGTATGACGCATGAGAGTACATAGGTTATCTCAAATAAATGATAGGGTATATAATACATAAACATTCTGTTAATAGATTATCGATATTCACCCACTAAGGGGCACGGACCGTTTTTTGTTTACATGCTCCATTGTGGTAGTCACAGCGCACAGTCGGTCCAAGCTGATAATACTTGGATGTAGTAATAATTCGTTCTACACACAGCTGTTTTTTTATAATGACATAAGGCTCAATTTATATTGCGGCGGAACGGAATGGAAGCGAATTTTTGTTAAGATATTGTACGTAGCGTAATGAACTTTATGGTCAATTGTGTAAAGTACAAACTAGATTCGAGCCGAAATTCAAGTCACACGTCTTCCGCGGAATTCTCGCGCATTCAAAGAAGAAGAAGTGGCCCTAAGTCAGACGCAGTGTGACGTCAAACGTCGACGAAATACTATAGTCTCAAGGCGCAGCGAGGCGAAATTGACGCTTCCGTCCCGTTCCGTTCCGCCGCAATGTAAATTGAGCCTAAGTGTCAAATTTTATAAATATATTTTCTTGAAAAGTTGTTTTAGAAAAAAAATGTGATACCTATTAATCATTCTATAGCAAGTAAAAATTATAATCTGCAAGTACTTAGAGGTTTACGGGTACAAATCTGCAAAGGCGGATAACACGAAAGCTAATTTTAACTGCCTCCGTGGCCGAACGGTTACCTTGCCGGACTGCCACGAAGAGGTCCCAGGTTCGATTCCCGGGCCGGGAGAAATACTTGTATGGCCTACATTTATTTCTCTCGTTAGTTTGGGTGTAATTTGTGATCGTCTATGTGTGTGTCCATGGCACCCGCGATACAGGGTTTCCCTAATGCTGGGCTATGTTGAATGTGGGCGTGTGCGTTATTAATTTAAAATATCTGTCTGTGGTTTTCTTCCCCGATATAACAACTCAAGCTGCCAGAAGCGAAACATACGGCAAGATAACCCAAGCCAAAACAATGAAGGAGTCACGACAACACTGAGGCTACTGCTGGCGAGGAAGTACACAAAAGAGCCAAATTCCTAGCTGTGTGATGTGTACGTTTTTTCCAACACGTTTCGGGCTCTTTAGGGCGCAATCATTGATCGCGCTCACTCCGCGCGGCCGCCGAGCGGAGCCCGCGTCGCCGCCGCGTAGCGACCACGTGCGTCTTACTGTCATGGCAAAATACGCTACATTTATTTATCTTTTACGTTTTAACTTAAACGAGCGTCCCGGGCACACGGGCGAGTCTGACTTGAACTTTGTTTTATTCAGAGGAATTTAAATGTTGTTGCCTAGTTAATACAATTCAGATTCGCCATTAGTACATGAAGGCGTGGTAACTCTGGGCGGTAGCCGCGAGACGGCCGCGCCAAAACTTTCGTCTGACTGAAAGTTTCGTTTTCAATATGCAGCAATCGCATGCGCATGAAAAAAAATCTCTTTATGACTCACACCGGTAACAGCTAGGCACGAGACTAGCTAATCTTTCCAAGACGCTGCTTCAACTGACTTTAACAATCGCGAAAACCGAAGAACTCGAAGTATACTTTTCCTCATCAGGATTAACCAGTAAATCACTGATTTTCTTCTATCATGCTATCAACCTTACAACACAAATAACGATTAACCTGTAAACAACGAAAATTGCGTCTATGACGTGTTGATACAGAATCTGAAACAATAAGATCGTATCAGTTCCGGCATGCGAAGTGGGTCCGAGTTTTCTAGATTTGTCTAGTCTCGTATTCGGACGAATACGAATCAGATGCAAAGCGCAAACCCGCTAAGAGTTATATCAGTTATATATATGTCGATGTTTCTTTGTTTCAGACATGCTGAAGATCCGAGTGTTGGGGCCAGTTGCCAGCGTAAGAGAATCAATGCTCATTGATGAATATGGTACAGAGCTCGCCAAACTTCCATTTAGGTAATATTTCAATGCAATGAACCGTTGTTGAAATGGAAGCGAAAGAATATTCTATCTCGAATCTCTTCGTCGATCATTAGCCTCTTAAAAAAATTGCTTCTTTCTTGTTGTGGTAGGGAAACAGGAAACAACTCGCGCATATTCCGTTCAGTATAAGGAGTTAGATCGTGGATACGATGACTTACATTGCCGAGTTATAACTTGGTTGAATTCAAGTAACAGTTGTAACCTTCAGAGTAACTTGCGAGGATAATTTGGGTGGAACGAATTTACGATGTAACTAAATCCTTGAACCAATAACAAATCCTTGAACCACTAAAGAATCAGCGCAATCAGAGGCATACGGGACATCAGACTTTATATTTTCCACAGCTGGCGGTTTCCGCTTATTATGAATTCTTCCTTAATATAACAAATGTCTATAGACGGCGGTAATCACTTGCCATCAGGTAGACTGGATGTTCAACTAATAAAATATATAGTAATAAAAATTTAATTTGCGAGCCCACATCATTTTCCGGGATGCCTCTGGCATACCAAGCTTAGGTCTTTAACTCGATGTGACAAGTTAGGTTTAAGCGTCCAGATAACAATATAACTCACTAAAGTGTGTGACCTTGAAGGTGTCGGTCTAATTAATAACCACTTCTTACAGTTATCAACCAATAACATCAGATGGTCTTGAGGCGTCTGCAGGCAGACCCACAGAAGTGATTGCCGATGTACAACTTCCCAGCGTTAAAGGGTCTAAGGTGTATGCTAAAATCGTTGGCAGAGATATAAGAGGTAAGAATACAAGATAGGTTTTCAGAAATCATTTCCTATCTATGAATAAATAGAAGAATCTGTTGAAATTTCGAGATCAGTTTTCATGCAGGGAGAATGAAACAACATAATCAAAAAAACACTAAATATTGGATCTACTTTGGAAGACAACTTTATGTCGTCACCCAGAAGATCCAAATATAAACTGGATATATGAGGATAGGCAATACCATATATTTGTCGAAACCAGAAATTAACAGAAACACTGTCGTTTATCAAAGCAATGGGATCTGTAAGAACCCGAAACGTTAATTTATTTGAAACAACAAATATACGCGATTTAAGTCCGAAAAAAACTGGTTTAAATTCCAACTGCGACAGCATAACACTGAATGGAGCATTAATGGGCGTTGCAATAGAGACCTATTATCCTCATAGCACAATACTAAGTTCATAAGTAAACTAAGCTCTCTGTTATTGCGTTGTTAGTCTAAAAATGTAGACAAATTTACATCTATTCCAATAACTCCACATCTTTTATCCTCAAGGTGAACCCTTTACGCGTCTATGCGGACCTATCGCACAAGAAGTCCGCATGGGAAGATCAGCATCAATATCGTTCCCCGGTAATACCAATGACTTGCAGAAAGTTGAAGACATGAACAACAAGGCATATAGCCAACGGTTGCAATATAATGACAGCAATGTGTTGCCATTCAATCGAGCTGTTTCTCAGGTAAGACGCGACGATGACTAAGCTTCTGAAACTTTAAACGGTATTATAAAAACTTACCACTTCTAAATCTACCCAAAGCAAATAGATTATGAAGATTAAGTGAAGGTACCAGAATAAACAATAGTGCTTAAAAAGCGCCATGCAATTGAAGAGATCAATATATGCATATCAGGAACGTAGCTAGCGGAGATCTATAGTTTTTGGTTTGCACCAATAGTAGACTGGTTGATGGCATGTTTGTACGCATAATTAAGGAGTGGAAGAAGTCAGCTACGTATTTGTTACATCAACTTCTGAAATCTCGAGAAAAAGTACCGATGTACTTTTTATCGACATTTCGAGAAAATATATTTGGTGTTCCATCGGGAAATTTTTGGGATTTGTTCACTTCCTTTTTCTCCTTTTGCCAAAAATGTATTTAATAGCCTTTCCAAATAATGGGAGTCCTCAAAACTCCATTTCACACGTAAACCAAGTTTCAGGAGCAACAAAAAATGAAGAATGTTTGGAATGTTGATTTCAGGTGGTAAATCAAAGAGGAACATTGCTGACAGCTGTGCAAATTGGACTGAGTTCTAGACTTTACGGTGCGCCTGGAGACACAATTCTGGTATGTATCCCGGGATATTCCAAGTAGCTGGTCTAGCTTAACTTCCTTGAATATAAATGAAAGAAAAATCCAAGAGATGAATAGCGTCGTCAACAATATCTGTCCTTATCTCGTTAATTGGGCATGGTGCAGATGGATATCTTTGTCAGTATACGCTCTTTATATACATTTGTTTCACACAAAACATTCATCTTTTCTTGGTATTTATCTCTTGTATATGTTTTTTTCAGTTACACTTCGAAGTGACGAACTACAGGGAACAATCAGTAAGGTTTACGTTCGAGGCCAGAGGTGAATTACGCTTCTTGAGAGGCATCAATCCTACGAGGTAACGATTGCATTTGAAATTACGAACTCTCTTGACCATGTATGCTATAAAGTTACGATTAGCGCATGCAAACCGATTTTGGAAACCGGGTTTTTCGGAATTTTCGGTTTTGTCGCAAAACTATTAAAACGAAAATTCGTAACTCATATTATCATTGTATCGTGACCTGTTAATGAAATTGAACAATAGTTATATTCGTATCTGATTTTCAAGCCTAACCCTGGTAACACTACATAGAAACAGACTGACAAAAAGATGTTTAATTGCTTGTCTCCAAATATGCATATTTGTTTTAGAATATTAGTGTTTGTTGATTCGTTTTTTATTACAATTCGAGAAGTTGATTGATCTCATTGAAGCTGTGAAGTCTATAAATAATAAAAATATTCTACAAAACACTGATTTGTTGTTTTTTTTCTGGCACTTAAGAAATATTTGAATTATTATATTATATCCGAAAACACCAAATAACCGGGTAACCGAAAATTAAAAATTTAAAGAAACCGGTTTTCATGATCACTCGGTTCTTGCATGCCCTAGTTACGATTATCGGCTGAATTTTCTGCGCGCTAAAGTCAATGGTGATAAGACAATCGAAACTCATTGTAAACGTCTAATATAAGTGTAAAAACGCTGTCAGGATTTAGTTTAGTATTAGGTAGTTACCACATTTATTAACGGGGTACCGGCTTGAGAATAAATTTCACGTCCACGTAATAAGAATGAAAAAGACGTAACGCGTATTGCTTCCGGTCAGATCGACGTTTTTTTGGGCTGGTTCAAAGGGACACCGTTTCGATAAATATGATTACCTTATAGAATTTTATCTGGCCGGATGAATTTCATTTTCATGTCTGGCATTAAAATAAGCTCTTAAATTGCAGTCAAAGAATCGACTCCGGCCAAACAGCCAACGTCATAGTGACAGTGGGCATTACCCCAACAGCACAACCGGGGGCCAGGGACCTGATCACCTTTACCGCATATGGTAATAATGGTAACGTGGGTCAAAACATTTTCACTTTTCACTAATATTACACATGCGTTGGAATATCTGTACCTCAAACAGCTGCAATTGATCTCTTCAGAGAATTAAACTTTTATATTTGTTTAATCCTTAAATTTAGCAACCATTTAATACGGCTTGCAAGTTCGTCCTCGGGCACTTATACCGTGTGACTAAAAGACTGTACGTTTGCAGGACAGGCAGCCAATAGCACCGATGTGTTTAAAAAGGAATAAAATTACTAGCAATCTGTTTTATCATCACTAAGTTAAATTTTTATACAAGTTACTTCGCTTACATCGACAAGCTGCATTAAATTGACAAGATTTTGATTCAAACTTTCTCTACCGAATAAAAATTACCCCTGACAATATGCACTTTGGAACATTTGTCATTGTGTTATTATTTACCTAAACAATATTAAAAATATTCACCACAGGTTTAGAGCAAGTGTCGATCTCGGCGTATGTGTACGTGCAAAATCCGGGCCAAACGCCGAATGACATCTGGTCTCCGGAAGTCAGACACAACTTCCAAGGATCCTGCATTGGGAGACAGGGCAGTGATTGCGCTCAGCATGTCTGGTCTGCCACTATAATTGCCAGGGATGCCGTGGGAGGTAAGCATTAGGTCTAATTTCAGTGAAAATTTCACGTCTAGTCACCAATTTAACTGACCTTGTTTCATTAGCAATGTGGTCCCTTGCTATTTTGTTCTAGTAAGTTCATTGATTTGCCATTGTGGATCCAAATTCTGCCTTAAAAACACAACCACGTGGCTTACAGCCAACACTTGTAATTTCTTCTGCATAGTGATACAGAAAAGGGTTGAACCAGTTGTCTGTATAGCAACCAGACGCCATTTTTCCTAAAAAGTCTTCATCTGACCCGTTTACTTTCATTTCTTCAAGTCCATCTGCATTTGATCTAAGAGAATGCAACGATCTTACTTATTCAAATTTTAAAACTTTCTCAGGTCTTCTCCGCGTCACATCCTCTCCGATTGGTCTGACGTACGACAGCAACTTCATATCAGGGACTCGCGAAGAAGTGATCAGCACTTACCGAGCTACCTGCTGCGCTCCCAGGGTCATGATAACGGCTGTGGATGCTTTTGGGAATGCCAACAGCTACGTTGTCGATATTTCTAGTAAGTATAAACTTAGAAAAAAAAAACCTTCGATCCGGCCGGATTTGAACCGACGTCTTCTAGCAAATCGTGCCAGACGCTATGCCAACTAAACGGAACGAATCAGCGGCCCTCACGAATTTTTCTATGTGCTTGTTGTCAGATCTTTGTATTTGGTTTTTCAAAGACTTTTAAGCCATTTATGAGAAATCTATGAAAGTATTTCGTCACCCAGTTAGGTAACTTTACAGCTACCAGCCATGGCTAGAGATGTCGTTATTAACTGGAATTAAGTACCAAATTCTTTACCTTTGACCCACTACAATCCTCACAACAAAAAAAAACAATTTCGACTTCCCATAAATTTTAAATCATCCAACATAGAACTGAACATGTTGCTCTTTAAAAAAAAAACCTTTGACATAGTCTATACCCATTTAAACCCGGTTTTGGTTAATAGTCTAAAAAGGCTTACTTAAATCTAAATCTGGCAACCTTCTTTCCTTTCCTTCCTTCTTTCCTTTAATGATTTCTTTTTAAAAAACCTTTGACATTGTCTATACCCATTTTTATTTTGTGTGCATTGTGTTGGGACTCCTCGTATAGAGTTCAACGGATTTGGTTTTAAATCTAACACTATTCGATAATCTACATTTTTCACTGTTCCAGACTACTTCACATCCGCGGCAATAGCAGCGATTGTTCTAGGAGTATTTCTATTCATAGCCCTAGTAGCGGTAATAGTTTTCATCATTTACTGGTGCGTGAAGAGGCGTCGGGAGTCAGCTGAACTGCCTTACACTGCAAGTAGCAGGAGATATGAGGGAACTAGTAGTTAAGGAGAAATGTTTTAAGTTTAACTTGTTAGTAATGAACTAAACAAATGATTACTTTTTTATAAAAAAAAAACTTCAAAATTTTAAACCGTAAAAAACCAAATTCATGCCCGAATTTACCATCCTTAGAAGTGAAATATTTTCTTCAAATTTTAATAGAATTACTAGTGAAGTACCCCCTCTCTAATAAAAAAAGAATAATTGACATCGGTTCACAAAAAATATTCGAATAGAAAATCTGCTCCATTTCTTAAACTCAGTTAAAAAGTATCCATATAAATAGAGAAGTCCAGGAACACTATGCAAAATACAAAATAACCAGTACAGGAAAGTTATTTCTACTGAGAAAATGGACCCCAAAACCTTTCGGTCAGTACCCAGAGAAAACTAAGATACAATATAGTCAATAGATAAACAAAATTCACTACTAACTTGTCAATAAAAACACTGGTCACATATAAGGTATGAAGCAAAGAATGATTTATAATTGTGATAAGTCAGAATGCATAGCTTGTTTAAGATGTTAACCTAAATTTAGTTATTTAGTTTCTGTTAAGTTTATGAAAAAGTTACAAAACAAAAAAATATTAATTCCGTTGTAAAATAACATAAGCCCCAATATGATAAATAAAAAGAGAAAAGCTACAGGATAACAATTCAAGAATTATAGTAACCTATTAAGATACGTAATGTATTCGATATCGATAATGAAATAGGAATGAACTTGGAAGTTTTGGTAGTACGATATAAATAAGATAGATGGCGCTAATTTGAATAGTGGTATAACAGATCCACATTTTCATTAAAACTATCGCCATCTGTATTATTATACAAATATTGTGCCGTCTTATGCTATCTAATGTGGAAACACTAAATTCCCGCATTTTTTACAATCCTGTTAACACTGGAATGAAATCTGATCGAAAGAAACCCAGAACGCAGGCGCAAGAGGTGCGAGGATAAAAAAAATTAAATATAGATTCGTTCTGGATCTCAATCTAAGTTGTTAAGCTCAGGTATGCTTAATGAGTTTACCAAGGAGATGCCTATGTAACTAGGGTTACAGTGCGTCCGTATTTGTCAGGACTTGTCCAGCTTTTTGAACTCTGTAATGTAAGGCTTTGACAAGATACATCATTTGTCCGGATTCGTGCAGTTTAAAGTGTCGTGCCTTGTATATTTAAATGAAGTTGTTCACATATAGTAAAACACTATTAACTTCACGACTTTTTAGACGTTACGACGGCAGACTGTCGTGACAGTCGTCTGACGATAAACAAAACGTCCCGATAAAAATGTGATAACAGATAACCACAGCTACAATTGTCATCACATTTTATTTATCATTGTCTGCACGTGCACCGATAAATTATTGTCACGATCTAGTGGGAACAGCTAGACACGACAGTCGTTCAACGATTAAATAAACGTCCACGACACAGTCACGACAGATAGTCGTCATATGGGAGCAGGCTGGACGCGACAGTCGTCCAACGATAAATAAAACGTAACGACATAATGAAATAAAGATAACCTATTTTTCAGAATAATATATCCAAAAAAGTAAAATATCTACCTCGCAATTATGTTGTAAAACTCGATTTAGGACAAAAAATTTGCGGCCAAGTGAGAGAGACATTTTCGATTTTATTTTGTTACCAAAAAGTCTTTCTTGCTATTTCGGAATGGTAACCCTATATGCAACGAACCCTGGAAGATATCGGTGTATACACACAGAAATTCAAATGCAAGCATTACAAAAGATGCTGCAAAGCACTTGGTTCTAACATTTGGGGTATCAACCAGGTATAGATGGTACGCAGGGTAAAAGGTAGACGGCGGAATGAGCTCATGAAACTCTTGCGCATATATCTGCGAAATATAAGGATAAATTACAGAGTGCTGAAATAATATTGGGTACCAAGGTATTAGGAAGTTCAAATAGAAGGTTAACGCTGTGGAGACAACAGAACGGCGATTACTCCAGTGACATAACAATGAAGAAACTTTAGAAAAATACCACTGATAATTTTACTAAAACGTATCCAATCAAGTGTCCAGATAAATTCCAAAAAGGTGTGTGTTAAAGCACTGCCAAAATATGATCTAGATTTATTTTGTCAGTCTTATTTACTTTTTTATAATTATTTAACATATTTTTTTTTTACTAAAACGGGTAGTACAACACTAATTATTATTTATAAATCTAATTACTTTAGTTATTTTTTTTAGATTTAAGACGCATGGAGCCATATTTTTCTTTGTAAAATTACGAATTAAATTTTAATTTTTATTCATATTGCTGCATTATTTATCCTTCCAAACATGTGATTAAAATAAATCATTGATTTCAATTAAAAACTTACACTTTACACTTTAAGCCTATTAAGGAGTAATAAACAATATAATTTGCTCCAAAAAAATTATCACATGATAAGAACTAACCTATTTTTTTTGTTAAAGAAGTTGTAAGAGTATCTATCACCACACATTGTAAAGCAAAATTCGCATGAATGAGTGAGAAAAAGCTTTGTTTTCATTCAATAAGAGGAATAAGATGTTGCGCAATTCGCTTCTGCTCAGACAGCCGACGCGAAAAGTACATCATTATCGCTCTTATTACCTGGACATAACATGTTGTTCTGACCAGCTTAATGCAAATCCGTGTCGATAAGTGTGTGCCTTAAAATGACATTTGCAGGGTTACCATTGTTCACATTGATCTAAATAGTGAATTCCTGGGAAATTTTGAACTTAAGAAGAGTGAATAAAGGTAAGTTTTAAACATAGCTTGGACCAACAGAGAGGAACAGTCCCATATCTCGATTACAGAGCCCCTTCCGAGCCATCCTTTAGGTTGTACAGGTAGGACAATCTACAATCAGGTCTTGACCCCAGACCAGCCCGTTGACACAGACTCAACAGAGAAGAACAGCGAGTGCCTGGTTATATGTATGGACAACGGCACATCAGACTACACATTTTTGTTCAAAAATTGGCTCCAGTGCAACGGATCAAGATACATCAACGTATAGCTTGATGTGCTGGCGTGTGTTCATTAAATTATAGGGATAATGGTTACCATGTTGGTAACATAACTCTTTAAATTATTTACTTCCCAGAGAGGGGTCTCCTCTGACTAGATGATTCGGGTCATTGTACATCTTTGTCATTTCTAGCAGATAAATGAGAAGAAGGTAGGTGTGTTTGAACAACCAGTAGGTTTTCATTGGTTTTAAATTTCTCCATTAAAATAAAAAATAGACATGCACAGTTACATGCCCACAGCAGGTAAAGGTATTATTATTTGGATGGCTTCACTCAGAACCCGTGCAGTCCTTCATCACTGTTACCACTAATTCGTCTATCACTGCTAATTACGATTTGAAACCAAGGCCAACAAGGGTGAGTGTTATGTACATACTTGAATGATAAAAATCCTTGGTAGCGACTCGTATAGCCCTTTCAGGTTGGACATATGAAATAAATATTGTAAATGGTAAATGTGTATGTAAATGTTTATTTACAAAGAGCAACCCCTTGAGTTTCTTGCTCATTCTTCTTATGGAAATCTGCACAACTTCAAATGCCCATTGAGGGGGCAGCATTTGATAGTCAGATCTAAGTAACGTACAGTCAACAGCACATCGAGCTCCACATTGATGTATCTTGTTCCATTGCACTGGAGGCAATTTCCAAACAAAAATATGTAGTCTGATGTGCTGTTGACTGTACAAGGGTAATGATATTGAATATGAAACTTTACAGCCTCTAAAGCTTTTTCTATTGATTCGAATTAAAATTATTTCGTCTTTTAATAGCTTTTTTAAAGCAGTCTTTAACACTTAACATGATATCAGACACATCTAATCTAGTATGAGCAAATCACTATTTGCTCATACAGTGACGTTACTGTGACATTATCATCATTTTTACTATTACAATGATAATTTTTAATACATATAATTTAAGTACCTTCATTTATCACCACTATTATATACGTCAAAGTCTGGTGGTAGAAGATACGAGGTAACTGTATAAGTACAACAGGACAATGTGGCTTGAATAAATATATATCAAATCTAAGACAGAGTAGAGAATGTAGTACGGGTCTAACTTAAACAAGATAAAAATTAAAATATACATAGTCATTTTCATAGTAGTTTTAGTAAGGCAATGGTCTATACATTAGTAATTGAATGATTGAATGCCATCACTGCCATTCCCCTGCCTGATGCTCTATTGAGACTCAACTACCGTTGCAGCTAGATTTTAGCAGAATAACAAATATATTGTCCTAATTGCAACATTATCTCAGTCTCAATGAAATTATAATGAATGACCAGTGGTTTTAAGAAAATTAGAAGACTTGGGGCCCAGAGATCAAAACAGTAGAGACCAGGACAATTTAACTGCCTCTGTGGTCAAATGGCTACCATGCCTGACTGTAGCTCAGGGGTGCCAGTTTCGATTCCCAGGCCGGGAGAAATATTTGTATGGCCCACATTTATTTCTCTCGTGAGTTTGAGTGTAATTTGTTTATGTGTGTGTGCATGGCATCCATAACAAAGGGTTTACCAAGTGCGGGTCTATGTTGAGTGTGTGTGCTATAATAATAAAAAAACCACTTCTTTGTTGGCCTTGGTTCCAAATTGTAACTAGCCAGGAGAACAATAGATATGGTTGATGTCCTGAAGGGCTACACAAGACACAAATACTTGCTAAGCGAACAAGCATGTGTACGGTTTTCAACTGCCTTTGGAGCCGACCAGCTACCATACATACCATGAGGATCCAAAGTTTGATTCCCAGGCTGGTAGAAATATTTGTATGGCCTACATTTATTTATCTGGTGAATTTGTGGTTGTGTCCATGGCATCCTCGACACAGGATTTCCCTAGCCCGGGGCTATTTTGAGTGTGTGCATTATTATTATTATTAATAAAAATAATGAAAACCCATTGATAGTTTAGATGTAAGTTCTCTTTTCCACTTAATTGGACAAAGAGCCCTACAGTAACAAAGCAAGTGAGTAATAAAGAAACCTAATTTTACTTACACAAGTTACATCGTCAAGAAATTTTTGTATATTCTCATATTGCTTATCAAATAACTTCTCGATATCTGATAATTCTGGCGTGAACCCGGTCTCGAATGGCGCGTTCTTATAAGATTTGTAGAGAAAAGATGACATCGCGTAGTTGTCACTTTAATTCATTTTAGATTAGGAAGGAATGATAATTTATCGCAGAATTATATGTAATCTTCATCTAAAACGCGTCAAAACACTTCCCTATTGCACTATTTTCAAGGAAATTTGAAAGAAACTCGTGTGAAAGTCACGAAAATGACAGTTACTAAAGACTGAAACTATACATTATTTGCGATGTATATCTTTCGTGCCAAGAGCACTAAATACATGTTTTACGCATCGGTATGAGTTATAAATAAACAAATGGCACTTACCTGGTCGTGTGACCACTTCCTGGGACAGAGAAACGGGAATCAACACAGCATTGTGTGTCAAATCCTCGAGAGACAAGCCCGTCACAGCGGTCGATAGTAGCGGGTTTTTCACAATGTTCCTGTTTGTATAATCACCGAAATTTCTGTCCGACATATTGTCATATAACAACTAACCGGCTGAAATACGAATTTTCGGCAATTTACACATCTGGAGGTCACAAAAAGTAAATTTAATTATGTGAAGTAACGTGTCACTTGCATATTTTGAGTTGACATTTGTTTGGTTGACACCAAGGACTTTTTCGAAAACAATCAGCTGAAACTTAAACGCTCAGTGATATTTCGAAATGACTTAATCAATTTACATTAATTTTTAACTAAGATTTTTGATGACAAAATAACGTAAGTTTTTCACAAAAAAAATAAATATAAATAAAAAATAACATTGAAATCATTAAAAAAGTGGAAATTAAAAATAAATAAACTGTCAAGTGCAGTGCTTCGTAAACACTTTTCATTTCGTTCCGCCACACGCAGTAAAACCACGTGGCCAATAAAACGAAATAAAATTCTTACTTACACTGGAATGTCACCAGTCCCCATAGATGGAAATATAGGCATTTATGAATAATATAGAATGAAAAATGGCGGGTTTTTGTAGTTACAGTTTTTCATAAAACATTTTTAGTTTAACCAGATATGCTTTTTGTTTGCTACCATTAGAGGAGGAATATTTTCGTCCTCTTCCAACAAAATAGAATCATCACAATCGGTTCACAAATACCGGAGTAATCGCGTAACAAACATACCTACAACGAATACAGTCGAATTGAGAACTTCCTCCTTTTTTTAAGTCGGTTAAAAAATATTTCATATCAGGGAAAAACACTAAACTTGTTCCATCATTTTCGTTCAGGAACTTCAACTTTTGATAGGTGTCAACGATAATGTAATGATGGATAATTAAAGAAAAAATATTGTAAAATTATCCCGAATAATATTTTCTTTTTCTGAAAATATGATTTTTTCAAAATGGAAAAATTTTCCATGACCCAACACTAGGCATAACAATACAGGAAATAAATAAATAGACAATCATGTCTCATCAATTTAATAAAAGCAAGTTGTGGATTCTTAGACCTTTTGGAGGGAAAAGTTTCATTTTTATTTTGACTTTCAATAATTTTGTGAATTCTAGTTTAAAGTGGAATAGGATAGTTCTATTGTGTCTTAATCGAAGATTAAAACGCGAAATTATAAGAATCTCGAACTAAAATACCCGTATCGGCCTGTTTTAAGGAATCCCGAGTCAATCCAAACACGCCGCCTCAAATTGCTTATCCTTTTTGTGGCGACCATGTTTACAGAAACATAATTAAACTTCAGGCTGATGGCTTTGCCAAAGCCTTAATAAATTTAAAAAAAAAGGCGAGCTGTCAAAATGGTCAAAATGAAAGTTTGCTTTGTTTACCTTATGAGTAGGGTTATTTAATTTTTTTTATGGTCGGTCACATTTCTTACACGATTTAGTTGCAATGTGTTATTAGTTTTATATTTCATAGTGATGGCTGTTAACTAAAAGTTGTGTTGAAGAGACTTGTGTTATCTTCTTTATCGTGCTCAAAGAATCACAATTTTTCATGAATAATTTTTTATATAAGTAATTAGAACAATGTCAGATAAACAAGAAGATCCTCCACCACCGGTCAAGCGTTACAGGCGCGAAGAAAAGTCGTCGGAATCGGAGGAAGAAGTGGATAATTACGAACCATATGTTCCGGTAAAAGAACGTAAAAAACAGAAACTCATGAAACTCGGTAGGCTCGGGCAATTGGCTGCTGAGGCTTCTGCTGAGCCTAAAAGCTCCAGTGACAATGATCCAGATGATGACAGTACGTATTTCTCCATTCGTATGTTGTATACAGGGTGTCCCGTGGCTATGCGGAATGGGGAGAATACTTTAAATACCATAGATAGAATATTTTACTTCATGTAGAAATTATTTTATTTTTAAAATAAAGTATGGGTGCCTTCAAATTTAAACACTTATTTGAGTAGAGCACTGCAGTGGCACCACTACTACTTTCCATATAATATTTAGAAGCGCAGCTGCAGCACCACTGTCGTGACACGCGCACGCCACTCATGCAGTTACAGTTAGTGTAAAAAATTACACAAGCGCTAAATATGTGTGATGGCTGCCTGCCTGCTTCTATTAGCGTCCAATTTGAAATCGACATCATACTGCCTTCAATGACTTTTAAAAAGTTGCTTTAGATAGCCAGCTTTAGCTTGCCTTACCTGGGACTCGAATTGAGTAAATGTGAACAAAACTTCCTGATCCATATCCATACATATAATAAACTTCCGAAAAAAGCTAACTTATGTTTGTAGGTTCTGTTTATATTTAAGAGTCATGGAATAGTTTATAAGCTACCATAATTTATATAATGTACAAGGTTACTTTAAATTCTGAATAGATGATTTACAATGAGAAGTGCTAACAGGTTATTTTCAAATCAGTTTTCTATGCTGTAATAGCGGTGGCAATTTTTATTAAGTATTTAAGTACATGATAATCTATTATCTTGAAATATTAAACAATATACTACACTTGAATATTAAATTATACTTACTCCATGATAATATTCAAGAATCTTTTTTTGGATTAACCTGAAAATGACCCTAGTTTACGGTTAAATATTAATTAAGTTGGGTGAGTAGTATTCTGCCCCCATTAGTGGAAAGGGCGCTTGTGACAAAATTCGAACCTGATAACGGAATATTTAAAGAAATGAAATTTAAAAAATGACTACTTTTCTCCTATGGTAATTTCATATACACCTAGGAAAAAATAAAAGTAGTCACACATTCAGACTTTTTTACTTGACTGATCACAGCAGAATACGTAAAACATTTTTTTTAAGAAAATGTCACATGCGCCCTTTCAACTAATGGCGCCAGTACGAGTACACTAAGTATGCCAGCAAGATTTTTTTGGGTTATTTAGTTTGGTGGGTTCTGTATTTTTATTCTGGTAAATTTGTAAATAACGCAGTAGTAATCAGAATTTGGAATAAGCTCATTCTTAATTTATATATGCCACCTCCATGGCCGGTTAACATGCCACGCAGAGGTCCCAGGTTGATTCCCGAGCCGGGAGAAATATTTGTATGACCTAAATTTATTTCTCGTTAGTTTGGGTGTAATTTGTGGTTGCCTATGTCTGTGTCTGTGGCAACTGACACATGGTTTCTCTAGTGCGGGGGCTATTATAGTCTGTGCATTATATTAAATATTATATTATTTTAAATAAGTAACTGCTTATGATCTCAAATAATGCTGATTGAATATTGGCAAAAACAAAAATATTTTTACTTACAATTACAAAAATTTTCTTTATAATACCATAGTAAAATAGTTCCTATAATAACATCATTACAGCGTCCCAAGAAGAATGGGGTCGTCGCTACAATGTGTCCCTCCTCGATCAGCATAGTGAACTTAAACGCCTGGCAGAGGCCAGAGCACTTTCTGCAGCCGAACGGCAAGCCAGAGAGGAGCAGCATATACTGGAAAGCGTTGCCCAGAGCAAAGCGTTGATGGGTGTTGCCGAATTGGCCAAAGGTAAAAATAGTATTCTTTGTTTATTTATTTTTAATCCTAAAACTATGGGACTTGTTTGACATTGTGGTCAAAGGATTTGCCAGTCTGCGTTGTTGCCCATGTTACACCAGACCTACAGGAAAAATGAATGTTTTATGTGGAGAGTCATTTTGATTTTATATTGAAATTTCAATCAACGTGCTGCCATCTAGGTGTTACCAGCTGAACGACGACGAATTCGAGATGTTTACTAAGTTCTCTAAAAAATATCAATATCATTTTTGCGCTCCAAAGTAGTGAAATAAGCAATTTATCTGCAAATGAAAATGATGGCAGACTGAGTTCAAGTTTGCGGAACTCCGCGAACTGTTATCACAAGTGCCACGCAAGCTAAGCAATTCTACTGTATTGATTATTCACTTTACGTATTAATTACACACAGTAGATATCGACCCCCTCCTACATAATGTATCGTATGTCGAAATTGCCAAGTTTACAGGGGAGCGTTTTAAATAGTGATCATCTAATAGATCATCTAACTGATATCTTGAATTTTATAGTACAATGTGAGTAACGAGCTTTGCCAAATAAAACTGAGAAATGCTAAAGTCACGTGTTGTGTTGTTTCAACAATTTATGTCGATAGGATACTCTGCGTAAGAGGGGTCGATATATTCCCCTCAATGCTCTAATTTGAGCCTTTGCGAGAGCGAAAGTGTATAGGCATTATTTATGTACGCATGCTCCATCATTGACCTCATTGTAACTTTCCATCAGGTGAGATTGAAGGTCACATGCACACTCTTATTTAAAAAATATAAAATAAAATAGGCTTTATTTGACATGCATAAATTTCAAACAAAACAACGGAAAATTAATAAAAAAAAATCGATTAAGTAAAATAAAAAATAAAAAGAAGGAATTTTTTCTGAGTGTTCGATCTTTGTATTAATAATTATAACAAATTAGTGGAGTAATTTCACAAAAAAAATTGAATATCAATTCAATAAAAATTTAATTAATACAGTGAATAGCGACATCTCTCGCCAGAACTGGTAGCTGTAAAGGTACTAACTGGGTGATAAATCTTTCATAGATTTCTCATAGATGGCGCTACGACTAAAAAGTCGTTGAAAAACCAAATACAAAGAAACGACTCAAGCTCATAGAAAAATTCGTGAGGTCCGTTGGTTCGTTCCGTGGCTTAGTTGGTATAGCGTCTGCCACGGTATGCAAGAAGACGTCGGTTCGAATCCGACCGGATCGAAAAATTTTTTGTGAGTGTTCGATCTTTGTATTAATAATTATAATAAAAAGAAGCATAAAAAAAATTAAAGCATGTCAAAAGGGTCCATGACTCATCATCAGAGGACTATGCTAATTACATAGCCCTCGTTATTCTGTCATGGCCCGTCGTAATATGGAACACCATAATTAAAATAATATATCGCACTGCTACTACAACAGTGTTGTAACTCAAAACATGTGACATTCAAGATTATACCATCGTGGAACGTAAAATTTGATTCTCTACATGTCAATAAAACCGTCGTTAGAATATTGTAAAAAACAACTAAAAGATATCTACTTAACTCAAAATGAGACACGGTTTATGTGAGCTAGTTTTGGCCAATATAGTCATTATTAAAAAATTTGACATTATTTTTTCTCTTTTATTTTTAAATATGTATATTTGGCAAGTAGGCCATAACCTATACATAAATTCACACATATCTTTCACGGGAAGCGAGTAATTCGTTTTTCGTCGATTCTGAGAAAATACGCTTTTTGAGTTAATACACTATTGTATTAACAGTGCGATATATGTCACATGTTACGTACAAAACAAAAATCAAAATTAAAATAACTGTAGACATTTATCCACTAAGACCTTTTTTCTTCTCATTACAGCCATGGTCGGTAATGACTAATACTTTGTATTTCAGGCATTCAATACGAAGAGCCCATAAAAACTTCCTGGCGGCCTCCTCGCTGCATCCTCCAGCTACCCGCAGAGAGGCACGACCGCGTTAGACAACAACTTCGGATTCTAGTTGAGGGAGAAGATGTACCACCGCCTATAAAGACTTTTCAACATATGAAACTGCCTAAAGGTATATTATGATGTTTAAAACTATTCTTCTTTTTCTTAAGTTGCCTCTCCAACTAATGAAGGTTGACAGTCAGCTCAGCATATTTATCTTTATTTCTGGCGAGTCTGGACATTTTGGCGGCACTCGCTACCCTAGTCCACTTTCGTATTTTCCTCAGCCACGATTTTTTCCTATGACCAGCTTTTCATTTACCAGCCACTTTTCTCATCATTATCAGTCGCAGAAGTTCGTATCTGTCATGAGTGTCAAAGAGTTCGTCCAGGGAAGAACTGCCACATTACCTATTTCAGCTGCCAAGCAATAATGTTAGCATTACTGCGTTCTGGTTTTAAAGGGTAAGGGTGCTGGTGAAATTACAGGTACATGGGACTTGTCAACTTATGTCTCAGGGTGACGGGCGCAATGCCTCTAAAATTTTTGCGATTTGCTGTTCCGAGTGGCATTGCAACTGTTATGGACTGGCGTGCTTACCATAAGACGCACGACTTGCCCGTCCTGTCACTTGGTGTTATTAAAAAAAAGTCATGCGCCTGATGGTAAGCTACACGCTTGTCCACAGTTACAGTGCCACTCAGAGCTTTGAAAGAGATCTAAGAGGCACTGCCTTTGCGCCCGTCACCCTGAGACATAAGTTGACAAGTCCCAAGTGCCTGTAATTTCACCAGCACCCTTAAGCCCTCAAAACCGGAACACAGTAATGCTGACATTACTGCTTGGCGGCAGAAATAGGTAAGGTGGCAGTACTTCCCTGGACGAACCCTTTAACAAGAAGCTCTACTGCTATTAAAAAGTTCTCTTTTGCCCCCTTTATTTGACAGAAAATAAATTTGTATAATTCACGTTACAGGCATTATCCGTGGTCTAGAAGCGAAAGGCATAAAGAAACCGACTCCAATCCAGGTGCAAGGCATTCCAGCTGTTCTAAGCGGTCGCGACATGATCGGCATCGCCTTCACCGGGTCCGGGAAAACTCTGGTGTTCGCCCTACCGCTACTCGCTTTGTGCTTGGAGCAGGAAATCAAGATGCCATTTATCAGGTATAATATTCACACTCATCAAAATTCTACACCGATTCTCTTGTAGTAGAACCGGTTTCCTTGCGCGGAGCAGGATCTAAGATCTTTGCGATTTAAAGCTCTGAGTGGCATTGCAACCGTTATGGACAGGCGTGTCGCTTACCACCAGGAGCACGACTTGTCCGTCCTGTCATTTGATATTATAAAAAAAGTAGTTTGTGTAACTTTTTGTTATTAAGTGTTATCTAATGTGTCTTCCACCGCCATGATATTCAATTTTATGAAATGACTCCACTAGTTTGTTATAATTATTATTAAACAAAAGACAGAAAAAATACACTTCGATCCGGTTGGATTCGAACCAACGTCTCCCAGCAAACCGTGTCAGATGCTGTGCCAACTAAGCCGCGGAACGAACCAACGGACCTCACGAATTTTTCGATGTGATTGTTGCAGATCTTTCTTTTTGCATGGTAACGAGTTTTTGGTGTGAGTAATCTTTGAAAGTTTTTCTTCACTCAGGGAGGTACCGTTACAGCTACCAGCCGCTGACTAGAGATGTGAGAACTTTAATCATAATTATAATTAAGTTTTATTGAATGTCAGAATGTTTCGCTATCATGATATTAAATTATTTTTTGTGAAATTACTCCACTAGTTCATTATAATTATTAATGGAAAGGTCGAACACTTAAAAAATTCTTTTCGATCCGGCCGGATTCAAACGTCTGCTAGCAAACTAAGCCACGGAACGAACCAGCGAACCTTACTAATTTTTGTATGTACTTTTTTTTCTTATTTTATTTATTTATTTCTCCACAGATATACAGTTTATACTTATTCTAAAGATCTTGCTAAGCTGGGTTGTGGACAACACTGTTTTCAATTACATATATGTGTACCTATTCTAGTTAATTCTTCATTAATTATATAGCTCAACTAATTTCCTAAACTAAAACTGTCTTTTCTAATATAATACTATCACTATTCATAATTATAGGTACACTATAACATTTCATCATTTAGCAATGTATTTTTGTTTGCTAGAAGACGTTAATTCGAATTCAGCTGGATAAAAGGAATTTTTCTTAAGTGCTCGATCTTTGCATTAATAATTATAATAAACTAGTGGAGTAATTTAACATCATGATAGTGAAACATCCTGACATTCAATAAAACTTAATTACAACTATTAAAGCGACATCTCCCGTCAGCTGCTGGTAGTTATAAAGATAGAAGAAATAGATTTCTTACAGATGGCGCTACGGCTAAACAGTCGTTAAATAATCAAAACAAAGATACGCAACTACCACATAGAAAAATTCGTGGCTTAGTTGGTATAGCGTCAGGAGGACGTTGGTTCGACTCCAACCGGTTCGAAGCAGAGATAGACACGTGTCCGGGTTAAAATCAGGTTAAAACCCATTAATGCTTAAAATGGAGAGCAAAAATATTTAAACTAAATATTTGTTGTAAATCGCGTTTTCTTGAAATTCAATGATATTTGTACAAAATGTTTATTGCTTTCTGATATAGAATTTTTCAATATTTGCCTTTCTATTGAATCGGTTCGCTTGAAAATTGCTTTGAAATAATTCTATACAAAACATCGTTAGGTTGTATGCACTTGAATCAGTTTTCGTAATAATTTAATCGTAATTTGCAATCCTTCGTAGTGTGTGGATTTCCATATTTATCGTTTAAAAATATTTTTTACATCGAAATTTCTATTAATATGCAATTATTCCGTATACCATATTCGCAGTTACTGCCACCGATTTGTGAGCAGAATTGGAATAATGCCCGACGCTATGGGTAAAAACCCGGCTTAAACCCGGGCGGGTTGATTGGGTTTTAACCCACTGTTAATGTCTGGTACGAAGTGATTTTTTTCTGAGTAAAGAAAACACATTTATTTGTTTACCACAATTACACCACAAAAGAAAAAAAAGAAAACAAAACATAATAAAAACGAGTCGAGTTCATAGGTTTTCGCGATAGTTACACAAAGGAAATTAAACTATTTTTCCGGATTTAAATCTGTCAACCGTGACCACGGGACCTGTAAAGGGCCCGAAACGTCGGTTTGTTTGAAAAAAACAAATATACGCGATTTAAATCCGGAATAATAAAAACATTCAAAGTAAAACATAAATAAATAATCATGAAACAAAAACAAAAACACAGCAAAAATAATAATGTAAAAAAATTTGATTAGAAAAGTGTTCAATCTTTGTTTAATAATAATTAGAATTGTTAATTTCAGAAACGAAGGACCCTACGGTCTTGTGATCTGTCCGTCTCGGGAGTTGGCGAAGCAGACGTATGACATCATTCTACACTTCAGCAAACACCTTGCCGCTACTGGCATGCCAGAAATACGCAGCTGCCTCGCTATTGGCGGTAGGTATATGTCCCACTGAGCTGTGGTAGCCTAACGACTTGGCCTCTTAAGCACGCCGTGAGTTTCTCGGAATATGAAATTTAATTAAATAAGTGAAGCCCATTGCGCCAGTGTGGCTGGCTATGACCTAAAACCCTCACCTGAGAGGAGACCCGTACCCAGCTGTGGAACGTTTAAATTGGTTGATGAATAGTAACACTGGACAATTACTCTGCCGTCTACAAATTAAAACGCGGTTAAGTGACAAGTTGCCAAATACCCTTTATAAATAGCCATCGAGTATATAACCAGAAATAGAGACGAAAAAAGGGCCATATATTCCTGGTAACACATTAGCGATACAGCTCTTATAAATATGAACTCTCGTTTGCGCGGAAATATAGACAGGCCAACTACTGACCTGTGTGTATGTCTCCTTATAATATATATCCAAAAAATATTCTGTATTTATTGTAATAAAGATAATATCTCTAACAACGCCGTGCTGTTCTATTTGGTGACAAAACAAACGGAATCACATTTCATCGGTAATTAAATATTAAATATCTAATATACGTTTAAGTTAACTGGTCGATTTGAAGTGAAACAATTGACGACACCCGTCAATTGTTTCAGCTATTGACCTCTTGATGGCAGCACATTGATTGAAATTTCTATATAAAATTAGAACGTAACTTGCAATAATAGATATTGAACTGTCAACGATACGACGACGACGAAATTTCTACCTATATTTCGTGTGCAGGAGTGGCTGTGTCGGAATGCATGGAGGTGGTTCAGAAAGGTGTTCACATCATGGTGGCTACACCGGGCAGACTGATGGACATGCTCGATAAAAAAATGGTAAATAGATTTTGTAATTATTTATATTTTTTATGAGAAAAAAATAAGTTCGACAACTCGAATTGTAATCAATTAGTGATGTCCTAATGCGTTTCCTATTCGATTTTTTATAACAATCGGTTTTATATATGAAGAAGTTTAAATCGTGAATGTGAGAGGGATCAAAAAAGAAGATATTGTCCCACTGGGATGTCATGTTGCGTTTGACAATTTGTGTATTCAAGAATTAATTAATTAATCTTTATGAGGATCCAAGCGATGATTCCCGTTCACATGGAGAAGAATCCGACGATTAATTTATAATAAACAAAAAAAAATATTGTAATTATCGAGTTCTTAGGTTTTCGCGATTGTTACACATAGGAAATGAAACTATTTTTCCGGATTTAAATCGCGTATATATGTTTTTTCAAACAAACCGACGTTTCGGGCCCTTTACAGGCATCTAAATCCCAAACAGACATAAGACTGCAGTACTAATTATTATGTTGTAGTTTATTCTAATTTCTATTAATAATTAATAATAAATTAAACTTAATAAAAATTCATTCACTAAAATAATTTGTAAAACTTAATGTAGCATAAATTGGAATGTATTCTTTGTAAAATTAAAAATAAGGTATTTAATTAATAACTATTGTAACTATAGTGAAAAAATAGGGTGGTTTGCATTAATATTAGACATAACTGGTTGAAGACTGTACCACCTCAGTCAACCGTGACCATGGGACCTGTAAAGGGCCCGAAACGTCGGTTTGTTTGAAAAAACAAATATACGCGATTTAAATCCGGAAAAATAGTTTCATTTCCTAAATATTGTAATTATTTATAATTTATTTCATTTCATTATAATTTATTAGACAAGTACCAAAATGTATCAACTGGAATAATCTTCATTACATAATCTGTTGGGTTGATAAATATCGGAGCTAAATAGCACGTTGCTTCACTAAAATTAAAAAATAAGAGTCGAGGACTTATTGCATTTTTTATGTATGGTTGTATGTCAATGATTACGGAACTTCGGAGGCATGCTTATGTCAAAAGTTAAACCTTGTTTACTCCGTCCAACCATTTATGTATATTTAAAGTAGGATATAATATCTGATACATTTTTTCCTATTAGATTGATGTTGCTCCACACAAATTTATATCTATCTAAGTGCCATTAGAATCTGGTATGTTCACCTATACATGGTGTTATTCAATTCAACTAACTTATTCATTCGTTGTTACAGGTACATGATCTTCACCATATTCAACATTATCACTACACATCCCGTGTAATAATTGTATTGTCTTTTCTTCAGGTGCGCCTAAATGTCTGTCGCTACCTTTGCATGGACGAAGCAGACAGAATGATCGACATGGGCTTCGAAGAAGACGTCAGAACAATATTCTCTTATTTTGCTGGCCAGAGACAGACGCTACTGTTCAGCGCCACTATGCCCAGAAAAATACAGAACTTTGCCAGGTTAGTAAAAAAACCCAAATGTAAAGAAAAACATTACTTACAATGTTTTTTTTTTCTTATTTAGCGCCCTTAATGTACTATTGTTTTAAATCAAGATAATTTGTTAGCACAAAGTGTGTTTCCTCTCACAGATCGGCTTTAGTGAAACCGGTGACAGTGAACGTTGGCCGCGCAGGCGCAGCGTCACTCAACGTGAGACAGGAGCTGGAGCCTGTCAAGGTACGTCTTTACACCACCTGGTCCGTGACCAAATATGCTTACCTCCATCATCGTTATCCTACCTTTTTATCGTCCTCTTTTTTGGTTCTTGGTCACTTATTTTTAACCGACTTCAAAAAAGGAGGTTCCCAATTCGACTGTTATGTTTTTTTTATGTATGTACGCGATAACTCCAGCATTTGTGAACCGTTTTTGATGATTCTTTTTTGTTGGAAAGAGAGTGCTTCAGTAGTGGCCCCGTTTAAATTTGAAGAAAATATTCGACCTCTAAGGGTGGCAAACTAGGGGATGAATCCGATTTCGTGTACTTTCCGGTAACCGATTACAATAAAACTTGGCAAATAGATTACCACAAACTTTTGAGGTTGATTTTTTTTTATTTTGAACCGTTCTCGAATTCCCTTTTCTTTCACCTTTCATACTGTTGGTGACCAGCTGAGACGCAGCCTCCTTCGTAGTTATAGTCTTTTTACGGTAATCTATCACAAACTCGAATTTCTTTTTTCCGAATTTTATTACTCCGAAAACGGTTCGACTGTTTTTCGTTAGTGCGATGACAGTTTTGGTATAAATTTACAACACAGAAATGTGTTACAGTCGAAGTATCGTTGGTCCAAAAACCTATTATTAGAATAATTATTACACATACGTATTCTTTGGGCAGAAGTTTGTTAGGTCTAATCATGTTTGTTATTACTGTCTGTTTTCCATATAATTTAGATTGCTGAAAATTCGTTTCGACAAAATTATTATTCTTAGATAAAATTGTACCGCCATACAATTTTACTGTAAATTTCTGGACTGTACTTTGCTGGTGCACATCAAGTCCACTTACGTAATTTTCGTCATACTATTGTGCTACGACCCCCTCCTGTAGGTTTAGGTTAAGTTAGTATATGAAAAAGCCGCACGAGCCGAGCGAGCGAAGCAAGCGTGACGCGGCAGCGGCCGGCGAGTGCCAGAGCCAAATTTGTTTGCATTACCTAGACGGTACGACCCCCTCCTGTAGGTTTAGGTAAGGTTAGTATATGAAAAAGCAGCACGATCCGAACGAGCGAAGCGAGCGACTACAACTCGATCAAATTAACTTTCATCTCGTTTACCATATTTTCTAAAGATGTGAGGTGCTTTAATTTGACGAGTTGTATTGTGCGACACGTTCTAATACTTTTAATATCTGTAATAAGAAATAATATAACAGAAATGTATCATGATATAGTTTTTTTACAAAATAAAAATATTCAATTAGATACATTGGTCAAACGGTTTGTTGGAAAAATAAAAATAGGGCAAAGAATAACTTGTCAAAATAGTGAAACATAAAATGGTGTAATGAAAAAAGCCGTAACGTGTTTTCGAACAAATGGAACAAAATCTATTCAATAAAAATCTAAAGGTTTACGAAGAAACAAAATTCTGTTTCTGGCTTGTGATAGGTAACCTTTTTCCTACATGTTACATTCCCCAACCCGCATTGGGACAGCGTGGCGGACTATAGCCTAAAACCCTTGCCTGAGAGAAATAGAAATAGAAAAAACATTTATTCCTTAAGTAGACAACACAGTACACATGCATTTTGTAATAATAACAATAAAAATAGTACTAACTACAAATAAATAGAAGAGTACAACGCGTGTGTGCTGTGCTGCCAAGGAAACCGTGACCCACTCAGCTTATTGTCGTCTCACTTATGGTGCTACGACGCTGATTTTCAGCGGATCCGGCAACAGAACACACGTGACACGGAACATAGTAGCCGTGACAGATTGACAATTATGTCCTTAAAACGCACAAAATATGTCAGAACGAACAGATTATTGACACAGTACAAGAAGTAATGACGTTACCATTTACATAATATATGAGAGAGGAGTCCGTGTCTAGCTGTGGGACATATCAATGGGTTACTTACTGTATGTTACATTCCTTTTCGGCTGTCTTTCTTTTTCAAAGTTTTTGCAGTGTTTTGCCTCTGCAACGCTGCCTTCAGATGGCATGTATTTAAATGATCGTTTTAAATTTGCAAAAGCTGCATTCAAAAAAATCTAAACGGTTATGTTTTTCATGATTGAGAGGCTTTCTCTGAGACATAAAATAAATTAAATCAATGAATATTCTGTTCTGTATTTGATTTTTATGTTGGGCTTCAAAACTAAGACGAATGAGGAATCAAGTTCATATGGGTTCCAGAGGCCCGATTTATAATACAATGTAAATGTTTCAATTTAATTTAATTTATAGTTTGATTTCATTGATTTTCGTGGAGGTGATTCAATTGCAAGTTATTATAATTTTCATTACTAACATAGGATATAAGCGTATTTGTAACTAACAACTATGGACATGGTCTGAAATAAACAATTTGAATTTGAATTGAAAATAAAATTTAGATATTTATTTTTAAAACTAAGTAAATTTTGATATTATTTCTATACTAATATTAATTATAATACACTTCCGGACACATAATACGAGCCACAATTCAGTATTAAATGCCCTAACCTTAAACAATGTTTGATTGATCAAAAACTATTACGCAATTTCGAAACTAGTATACTAAACGTCTCTTCCATAAGTCCTTGTTGGGAATTTGGATTTGCAAAGCCGGGAGGAAACTTTTTCTTCGATGATAGCACTATTTTTGTATTCTAACCTTTCATAACAAAAATGCGAGGTGACTCCAATTATGAAAACATTTTCGGAAACGCAAGTAAATTGGCTTCTGCCTTTTCTCATATCGCACTGTTAATACAATAGTGTATCAACTCAAAAAGTGTATTTTTTCAGAATCGATGAAAAACGAATTACTGACTTCCAGCGAAATATTATTAAAATTTATGTATAGGTTAAAGTTTATTTATTACAGACATCTAAACAATTTCCTACTTGTCAAATAAAAGGAAAAAACAACTTAATATTTTTTAGAAACTTATTTACTGTTTTTGTCGACTAGTTTTATTGGCGTGCAGAGAATCAAATTTTACGTTCAGAAATAGTGTAATCGTGAATTTCACATATTTTGAGTTACAACACTATTGTAATAGCAGTGCGATATCTAACCTAACCTATTGACTGGAGGCTGCACCAAGCAACCAATATTTACTAGGAGATCAATATCAAAAGATATGCTGATTATAAATGTCATCAATCGTTAATAGAAAAGACCAACTACAAAAAAAAGGTCAAATATTATTTTTGAATAAACATAATAATAGTGTTACCTTGAAAAAAGTTCATTCCTTACAAAAATATCGTTTATTTAAAAAAGTGCACATTTACTATAGCCCAATTGTCTTTAAGAATCAAATAATGTTGTCCTTTTTACAAATACCCATGAATATCTTGGCGAGAACGGGGATTACGTACGTATGACAAAAACGTAACTAATGTAACTTACACACGTGCGGCAATTCCTTGATTTCCGGCCTCTGCAAGTTCGCTTAGAAGAGTAAATATGAAAAATAATTTTAACGTTTGTCCAGGCCGAAGCACGTACAGTTCATCTTCTACAGTGTCTGCAGAAGACTCAGCCCCCGGTGTTGGTCTTCGCTGAGCGGAAGCAGGACGTTGATGCCATCCACGAATATTTGCTTCTCAAAGGTACTGTATATTGATATTTTTTCACCAACATCGCAAATTGGTGTCTCAGATTGTGTGAGATCATGAAAATGAAATTAAAAATAGTATTTTTATTTTGTTATACCCTCTGCCATTACTTTCCTTTTTATTTTCATGTTGTGGCATCTACAGGTAGTGCATTTAGAATTAAATGTATTTTTTAGTCTTCTTCATTCCTAGGATTTATTGTAACTATTACTAGCTGTCCTTAAATAAATAAATAAATAGTTTATTTCTTATCGACTTCTTAGGTATTGTTACACATAGGAATGAAACTATTTTTCCGGATTTAAATCGCGTATATTTGTTTTTTCAAACAAACCGACGTTTCGGGCCCTTTACAGGTCCCATGGTCACGGTTGACAGTCAACGAGTCAACGATTTAAATCCGGAAAAATAGTTTCATTCCTAAGTTTATTTCTTTTTTTTCTCAAACTTAAATTACAATTACAATATACAGTGTGTTTTTTTAATTGGGGCAGTATGGGAAAATCCGACACCGTAGGAGATACAATGAAACTACCACAGGAACCACTGAGACTTTTTTTGTGAAAACAATCGTGAGGATAATTAATATGGTTGTCCATAAAAATGAATAAAAGTGATTAATTATTTTTTTTTTTGGTGCTGATCGACTTAGTCATGAATGTGAGGATAATTTCACTGCATTGGAGAAAAAAATCGCGACAGCAGAAGTTATTCATTGTGTATGAACAAAACTTTTTATTCAATTTGACAAGTTCTGCTGTCCCAATTTATTTCTTCTAATACAATAAAATTATCTTTCAACTTCCTCCGTGACCGAATGCCACGCGGAGGTCCCAGGTTCGATTCCCAGACCGGGAGAAATATTTCTCAGGTCTACATTTATTTCTCGTGAGTTTGGGTGTAATTTATGGTTGTACGCGATACATGGTTTCCCTAGTGCGGGGCTATGAGTGTGTGCTTTAAAGAAATCTTAATATAAAAGTAATGGGCATTAAAAAAATTAGCAAATTTAATTCATTTTGTATGAAAAATATTTTATGAAATTGGACCAACTTCTGTCCCGATTTTTTCGTGCCATTTAATGAAATAATCCTTACATAAAACTGAGTCGATCGGCACTAAAAAAAATTTTGATCAATTTTGTTAATTTTAATGACAACCCTTGAAAAAAATTTGACTATGCCAAAATTGTTTTCACAAAATCCGTCTTAATGGTTCCTAAAACAGTTTCCTTGTATCTTTTATGGTTTCGAATATTCCCATCAGTCCCATTAAAAAAACACTCTGTATAATATGAAATAGAAATGAATTGCTGCACAATTCGGCATGGGAGGCACTCTTGTTCAAACAACTATATAAAAGAATGGCGCGTGCAAACCCCGTTGTGTCACTCGTTTATGCGAATATGTGCATCCGTACATTTGGATAGAGTTATACTTGTCATATTATACAATCGTTTCCACATATATCTTCTTTGGCCAACAGATTAAACTCTGCTGCATACGCAGTCCGTAGAATACGTGAGCTTACCGATGTTCCTACTGCTAGACTAGTTTTCTTTGGTTACTTCCATAGTATAATGTCCTACGGGATTCTCATGTGGGGTAAAGCGGCATATATACAAACCATATTTGTATTGCAAAAACGAGCGATTCGTTCTGTGTACCGTTTAGGTTCTCGGGTTTCTCTCAGAGAAAAGTTTAAGGAGTCTGGTATCATGACTGTGGCATGTCAGTACATTTACTCAAATATTTTGTATGCCCGTAAAAATATACATAATTTCTTTAAGAAAGAAGATATTCATAATATTAACCTTAGAACTAAGTCCAAACTCATGATACCATGATTTCGTTTAACTAAGGTAAACGATTCTTTTATGGGGAACTGTATACGTTTTTACAATAAGATTCCGAAGCATATATTAAGATATCATTTCGTAAGTTTAAAACTTACATTAAGAATATTTTAATTAAAAAATCATATTACAAAATTGAAGAGTATGTGTTAGATAAAGATGTATGGAAAGACAACATGAGTTTAAATTCCACACAATTATGTTTCAAAGTGTATTTCATAGCATTTAACTTTATTTGAAAAGAGCAATCCCTAGAATTTCTTGCTCGTTCTTCTCAGGGAGATCAGCGTAGTGAACGAGCAGTAGCTTAAAAAATAACTTATTGAAATGTAAAAAAAATACCTATGGAATAAAATGATTATTTGACTTTGATACTATGGTAGTCAGCATTATCTTCGTTGCAGGAGTGGAAGCAGTGGCTATACACGGTGGAAAGGACCAGGAAGAACGATCGCGCGCTGTGGAAGCCTTCCGAAGAGGCGAAAAGGATGTATTAGTGGCTACTGACGTCGCCAGCAAAGGTAAGATCGTTAAAATTACAATTCTTTATTCAGATAATGATAGTGTAAACACTTCATTTGAAATATTAGTGCACGAAGGCGAGCTTATATCATCAAGGGATTTCTTCCAATTAACCTTTACTTTTTTTTCTTAAGAATTCTTCTTTACGACATTATATTAAACTACGGTTTGTACAAATTATATCAGTCACTTTTGTCTGTCTGTCAGAATTTTGACTAGTTATCTGTCAAAGTTTAACTTTAACTGGACTGGACTTTAACTTTACCACTCTGGACTGCCGCACACGATTCCTGGGCCGGGAGAAATATATGTATAACATACATTTATTTCTCTCATGAGTTTGGGTGTAATTTGTGTGTGTCCATGGCACCCGCGATACAATTTTTCTCCAGTGAGGGGCTATAAGTGAGTGCGTTATTATTATTATATAATATGTTTACACATAAATAAAAATTCCTCAATACAATTCCAAAATTCCATTTCTGTTAAATACACTCCCGGACACATAATTTGAGCCACCTCGCGTTTTTGTCTTAAAGAACTACAATACAAAAATAGTGTTAGCATCGAAGAAAAATGTTTCCCCCGGTTTTCCAAGTCCAAACTTCCAACAAGGACTTATGGAAAAGACTTTTAATATGCTAGATTCAAAATAGGATAGTTCTTGATCAATCGAACATTGTTTAAGCTTAGGGCATTTAATACTGATGCGAGGTGGCTCGAATTATATGTCCGGGAGTGTATGTGTCTTCATTCTGACTTAACCGGTTCTAGGTTTGGATTTCGCTAACATTCAACACGTTATAAACTACGACATGCCGGAAGACATCGAGAACTACGTGCACCGCATTGGACGAACGGGCCGAGCGGGGGGAGAGGGGGTCGCTACCACGCTACTAGGTACGTTAAACTGTTGAATACATATAGTCTTATAGATCGAAAAATGTTAATGCACGCTTATACGATAAGAATTTAGGGTGTTTTTTAAACGGTTACCAGTACAATTTTTTTTGCGGCATATTACACTCCATTTATTTAACTTTTGACACGTGCTTGCCTCCGAAGTTCCGTAATTATTGACATACAACAATAGACAAATAAAATGCAACATTTCTTGGACCCTGATTTATAATTTTAATGAAGCTCCGATATTTATCGAGCCAAAAGATAATGTAGCGAAGATTATTCAAGTTGATAAATTTTGGTAACTGTCTAATAAATCGACCCCTCCTACGTAAAGTATCGTATGTTGAAACTGCCAAGTTTACAAGGGAGCGTTTTAAAGTTCTAAATTCACAGAAAGAGTGATCATCTAATAGATCATCAAACCGATATCTAGGATTTTATAATATTCTATGTGAGTACGAGCTTTGCCGAATAAAACTGAGAAAGGCTAAAGTCACGTGTTATGCTTATTTCAGTGAATTCAGAGCGTTAAAACGTTCCCCTGTAAACATGGCAATTTCGACATACGATACTTTACGTAGGAGGGGTCGAAATTACAATGAAATTAAATAAATTATAAATAATTATAATACATTTTTATTGTTGATTCTTCTTAAAGTTAACGTTAATTATTTATTCTTGACTACACAAATTGTCAAATGCAACATCACGATCCCAATCAGACAATATCTTTCTTGAACCCTTTCACATATACGATTAAAACTTCTTAATAAATAAAATCGATTGTTATAAAAAAAATGGAACCAGAAACGCATTAGGACATCGCTTATTGATTATAACTCGAGCTGTCAAAAGTCAAATGAATTGTTGGACGGAGTATAAAATATATACAAGATTGATAAATATTTCCTAGTTTTAAAAGCTTCTTTTATTGCTTATTCACAAATTCAACTGACAAAAATTTAACACGTAAAACCAAAAAAAAAATTAGCAAATCCCACAATTTAGCAGGTTACCTGTTGTTCTTAAAGAGCATGAGATGAATCTTCATATAAAAATTATGTACAAAGTTAGATATTTTATTCTTAAATCGCATAGAGTATCGTGTAATAAATTATAGCCTTGTCTTTTTTGAAGACGGAGTAAATTGATAATTGATTGCGCAAGTGTTGCCCTCTTTTGAGCAGCTAGTGACTGCAGTCGATAAATATTCTATCGACTATCGACACAAGTTCATTCAAATTTTCAATTTTTTGTTCATACACTGTATTTAGGACTATGTTCATGAAAAAGACAAACAGGAGACATATTTTAAAGTTTTTCATTTTAATTCAATATAGATAATCAAATCCGGCTAATCTTGTTAAAATGTATATGAATAAAAATTGATCTCGGTACTAGTAGGCCAACTGTCAAAATAAGAATAAAGAAGGCACTAACGCAATTTAACATTCACAATTCAGTAATTTTTGGCAATATTTTATCTTCTTTCACAATTTATCGATAAAACTATCGACAACAACTACGTAACTATTTAAAATTTTGTGACAACTGGCAACCCTGTAAATATCATTTTACTCCGTCTTCAAAAAAGACCGACTATAGCACATTCGGTGTATCGTATATTTTTTGTAAGGCTGTTATTTAATAGTAAATACCTATACCATTTGATCTAGAAAACAGTTTTTCTTGCTTCTCCTCCGATAACTCGAATTAAACACGTGTTCGTTATGCGCCCACTAGAAAATATGATTTTAGAATTGAAGTTAATAAAGACTGATTAAAATATGTTTTTGACTGCCTAAACTCATCTCAGCTCAGGGCTCATTGAAAACCAGCACCACAGTCAATTGCGGCTGTGGCATAAGCTGAATGAAGTCCTTTTGCATACGCCATAACCGCACACATGACAGTACAACATTTGTAGTTGTTATATTTAGTATTTTTCTGTTTTGCTCTTTGTTTGTTACTGCCTTATTTTATTTTAATTTTGTTAATTACGTCTTTTTGTTTTGTTTTGCTTGTCTAAGTGGTATCAATATTTTTTTTTTGTATCTATGTGTTGTGGCGTTGCAATAAATGTCTATTCAATTCTATTCTATTCTAAACACGTAGCCTTTAAGTATAGAAACTCGCTTTTGAAATATTCACGGAAGTCTCGTTTTTTCTTACTCAAGACCTATAAATGTACATTTATCCTTTAGTCTTTTAATACGACACCCATGGGCAGAGGCGGCTCGTGTGAAGTTTCCGTGGGAGTTCACTTACCTGTACATATTTTAAATAAAAAAAGAAACTCACATTATGTTGTTCCATTTGAAATATTGCCACTAAACAACACTACGCTTCTTAACAACGATTGAATAATAACAATTTTTACAACACATCAAAATGCGTGCGAAAAAGATAGTTTGTTTATTTAACAAATAAAATTGACAACAGCGCGCGGAGGCGGAGTGCAGAATCGCCTCTTCGGCGTAACAGGCGGGCACGCCACGGCGACGTTGCGCCGCTCAAATCTTGCTAATTTTCTCATACTAATCTTTATTTCACGTGTCACGCCGTAATGAAATTTCTGAAATTTTGTAAACAACTTCGTTCAGTAATCTAATTTAATAGTATGTTTGTCGTTCCATAATAATAAAAAAATACTGCGGCTACTATATACGTAATATATATAATAATCATAATAAATTTATTTGTTTCCACAAAATTTTACAAAAATTACAATTGCAAATTATACAGCGATTCCAGAAATACAATTACTTACAGAAGGTGGAACAGGAAGTAGCAAATGACCACACTGACTCTTGAACTAGGTAAAACCTAGTTCAAATATGAAAGCATAATTAATAATTTTATTTTGGTGGGTTGGATAGGAGTCGGAGTTCACTGCACCAGCACTCCTTAGGACGAGCCCCCGTTCTGCCCATTGGCAATCTGGTAACACAGCTGGTAATCAAATTATTACTTACAGGTAGAGCAGCAGACGACAGTGTTTTAAGAGATTTGGCGCATTTATTGAGAGAAGCTGGACAAAAGGTGAGATTATAAACATACATACCATCAACAACAATCTCCCGTAGCCGCCGCGATAAAGCTGTTATATCCACATTTAGCTCTCAAATTCGAGTGATAAAATGTTATCACAATTGCTTATATGGCGAGCACTGTGACGCCATATTTTTATGTCATCGCGAGCTCCGACGACCATAGACTGCAAAAGATTAACACAGTGCCAAACATGACTGCAAGATCACATCTGATTTTAAAACATTTTGACAGTTCTGCACAGTAATTTTATCAACGTGAAAATTGAGCGCGACAAACGAGATAAAAAGAAATAGTAAAAACAAACAAATTGATATAGATAAGTTATTAGAAATAGGTGAGAACATTTTTAATACATATTTAATTTCAAACCGACAGTGTTTTCCTGTCACTTTGAAATTAAATAGTATACGAATGACATACAAATATAGCGTAATTTTGGAGATAAATTATTAATATAACGCAATTTTGAGATAAAATATAATACATATACACAATTTTTGAGATAAGAGTATGTTAGCTGTCAAGTGCGATATCACCATATCATATCATTTACCCATTCATACGTCTCACTGCTGGACATGAGTCTTCTCTCAGGCGAGGGTTTAGTAGCAGTAGAGGTCCTTGTGAAAGAGTTCATCCAGGAAAGTACTCCCACCTTATCTAATTCTGTCGCCACGCAGTAATATGAGCATTACTACGTTCCGGTTTATAAGGGTAAGGGTGCTGGTGAAATTACAGGCACATGGGCCACCACAATACTGTGGCGCCACCGTCTATGCGAAAAAGACACGGAACTAAAGTCGAGCGTACTACTTACTGGCTGTTTTGAGTTTGTTCACTCGAAGTAAATTAAAAAATTTGGTACTTTTTACTGCCGCGACCTACGTACGTACGTTTAGAACATGAGCAGTGAAAATAATATTTTTATTGTTCAGGTGCCATCTTTCCTATTGGACATGATAGGCGAGCCGGAAGTACCAGTGCCGGACGGACAAGGCTGCTCTTACTGCGGCGGATTGGGACACAGAATCACAGGTATGTTCCACTACTGGGTCAACGACATTCTCTTTAACGCTAATGGGTTGTAACTTACAATAAAACTATAATGACAAAAAACAATGCGTCACTGATGTTCTGATGTTGCGACTGCTGGAAGCGCATTGTATGAAACTTCAATATAAAAGCAAAACGTCGTAACTGGCAATAATACGTATTGAATTTTCAATGATAGGCCATGGGGTATAGTTTGAATTATATTAACACTCCAGAACTCAGAAAAAATTCCTTCGATTCGAACCGACGTCTCCTAGCAAACCGTGCCAGAAGCTATGCCAACTAAGCCACGGAACGAACCAGCGGACCTCACGATTTTTTCTATATCGACTCGTCCGAAGAACAGTGTCCGTTGTGATTTTAAAGCGAAAAGAGAATAAATACGTTACGAGAGTAATTTCGTTATTCACACTAAGGCCCATGTAAAAGTGTTTTAAGAATGTATATATCTTATTTCCTTTCGGAGATATAAAATCAAAGAACACTCGATCTGACATCCACAGCAAAGGAGAACGAACGAAATGTACTATGTCCTGAGAACAAGTACCTAGTCTTGCACATAGATCTTTGTTCTACGGATGAGTCGCTTTGCTTGCGTCGTATCTTTGTATTTGGTTTTTCAAGTGTTCGATCTTTGTTATTAATAATTATAACAAACAAGTGGAGCAATTTCATAAAAAATAATTTAATGTCATGGCAGTAAAATATCGTGACATTCAATAAAAACTTGAAAATTACAATATCTACCATTGACTTACAATTATATGGACGTCGGATCCGCGCTAAAAAGTGTCCGAACTTATAGGGCGTTAAAATCGTATACAGAGCGTCATTCATGCTTTAGTCTTCGTTTGTTCGACTGACAGCGAAGCAAACAAAATTAGACAGTACTGCGATGACATTACAATTTAAATTCAACGTTTTAGCTTTTTCATATTCCTTTACATGTCAGTACGTTTAAATAGGTTGACTTGGGACATTTTTTTCGTGGTTTTTGTATTAGACCCGTCGTCCATTTATTTGTAAGTCAAAAAATAAGTAGATATCATGTGACAGATCGGCCTTTTTTACTGATCGCAACAGTACACATAACAATTTTTTTTTAAATGTCACATACGCCTTTTCAACTAGCTGCGGCAGAGTTCTCTGTTAATGGAATATTTATTTATTTACTTCTCTATTACAGAATGTCCAAAACTGGAAGCTGTGCAGAACAAACAAGCCTCCAACATCGGCAGACGAGACTACCTCGCCAATACAGCAGCCGATTATTAAATGTGCTTAATTTATTATTAAGAAAGTTTTACTTGTGCTGTAAGGTTTAAAATAAAAATTAGGTTTCTCTATACATATTTCTTTGTGTACTTATTCCTCGTTTGCAGGGCCCGTCAAAATAACCTGGGCACTAAGAATTCAATGTTGAAGAAAAGGTCATTGACCTTCAGAGAGTGCGCACTACTCCCGATTTGTATCAGGCGATCTACTCACGTTCTCCGTCTGACGTCCATCCTAAACAATGACTGTCAAATAAGTAATACCATAGATTTAGTATATATCTATGGTAATACTCGACCAAATTCATCGAGTATATAACCAGAAATGGAGACGAAATAAGGGGCATCCATCCCTGGTAACGCATCAGTCAAATGGTACTAATATCACTTAAATATCAGCTCTCGTGTGGAAAACTGAAACAGTACAGCGCCGACAACTAACCTGTGTGTACGTCTCCGTATATTCCAAAAATATTCTGTATTTATTGTAATAAAGATAATATCTCTAAATGTGATCTCTAAATCTGTTTCACTCGGTGATGTGGGAAAAAACAGCAAAATATGTAATTAGATAATTGCAAAACAAACGGAATCACATTACTTCGGTGATTAAATATTAAATTAAGTAATTTTTCAATTTTCGTTCGTTATAGCAAAGCTCAAGTCAAGCTGGTCGATTTAAAGTGAAACAATTGACGACACCCGTCAATTGTTTCGAATTCGGGCTGGCCAATTGGGGCGCAGTTGTCACCGTAATGATTTGGCAGAATAGTTTTTAAACAAATTAAATGACATTTCGTCTCTATTTCTGGTTATATACTCGATGACCTTGGTTTCCATGGTCTAAGCCATTTGGTCATAAAAGACGCATAATGCAAATGAAGTTTCATATTTTAGATTGTGTTCCCTTCCGAATCCGAGAAATGACAGTCCGAAATGTCATAGGGATCATTTATTTTACCTCTAGGTGTGGAAACGATATTCAAATACGAATCTGATGCAGTGCACAAATGCGCTTACTGTGATTTTTTATCCTTTTCACACGTGTCTAGTTGACATGCATAGAAAACAAATGCCTGCCTTATTCCAGCGTGGCCATGGTCGAGTTTTTGTAATTTGCCTAGCCAGATAAAGTCGCTATTTAGTCGGTTCTAGTCGTAAAAAACAGATTTAGTCGGTCCGCCACCAAAAGTTTTATGGGTGTTTCCACTGTCCACGCTGAAATAAGCTTATTCCAGCGATTCCATTTCTCAATTTTGAGAACCACAACACCTAGCTTGATCTGATTACACTAAAAAAAGTCGTGATTTAGTCGTAAAAAAACTAGATTTGTTACGCCGTTTTGAAATGATTAAGGTGGAAAGGGTTGTAACCCTAACAACCGTGATCAGGATCACGGCAGTAAAACAGGAAACTTCCGGTCCACAAATTTATTTAACTAACTTGACCTTAGATTTAGGCACTTCCCCTTATCGGATTTTATTATGTTGAATTACAGATATTGAATAGACTGTTATTCGCTCATTGTGGTCGATACATGATTTATATTGATTGTATTATGAATAAACTTCAAAGAATAAAAAAATTAGACAATTTGATTTAGTAGTTCTGTCCGATATCGAAGCAAACAATTCAAATTTAAATACAAGCAAAAGAAAAAAAATATACGATACAAAAAGGCGAGATGACGGTGTAAGGAGGTCACACCGTCACAAGGTGTTTTACTGTCCACTATGGAATAAGCTTATTCCGGCGGCACCATTTTTTAGTCTCAAGAACCACAGTTCCTAGCTTAGATCTGATTGCACCCAGAAAAAAGTTGTGATTTAATCGGTTCTAACCGCGATATTTTACAATGAGTCGCTCCTTTTTTTATTTATTATAATAATTTGTGGGTAATGTACTCAAATATCGACCCCTTCCACGTATAGTATCGTATGTCGAAATTGCCAAGTTTACAGTGGAGCCTTTTAAAGTTCTGAATTCACTGAAATAAGCATAATACGTAACTTTAGCGTTTCTCAGTTATATTCGGCAAAGGTCGTTACTCATATAGAGTATTATAAAATTCTAGATATCGGTAAGATGATCTATTAGATGATCACTCTATGTGAGCAACGAGCTTTGTCGATTTAAACGGAAAACTATAACACTTCCCTGTAAACTTGGCAATTTCGACATACGATACTTTACGTAGGAGTCGATATATCAATAATACACGTATTCAGATATAATCAGTTCCGAGTAAACTCCGAGATTTGCAAAAGGGAATGTCCACAATATTCTTTACGTTATCTAACCCCCTCGATTCCGATCACCTTTCCGTTCCGCCGCTATATGAATTGAGCCTAAGTAATAAAAATAACAAAATAAATAAAACGCATAATATCATATTACCTAATTTTATTTGAAACAATATACACCATGATTAAGCACGACCGACAGGCTTTTGCTGTGCTTCTCTTTAAAACTAACAATTATTTATATAGTACAATGGGAATAAAATTCAATCGACAGGCAGAAGTACATTCGTCTTTATATATAAAAAAATACATGGAAATAAAATCATGACAACAAGTAACTCAGATATCTTGATAACTTAATTTAGCTAAAAAGCGTCGTTTACATTAATTATGATAATGAGGACAGTACAATTAGTGTGCAACAGCCGTGTAAACTCAGCAGCAATAGCTGCAGCAACCACTGTTTCTGCTAAGTCAACATTTCCAGTGATAACACCATGTACACGATTTTTATTTCTGGGTTTCCGTTCTGTCACTAAAACAACAAATATCTAAAGATTTTTTTTTCCTCCTGAAATGTTGCTTCTGTGGACAGCGCAAAGTTGAAATTTGCTTACTAATATAAATGTACAAATTTTGGGGTTTTTCTTTATTTGAAGACAAAAGGGGAACATTATATTTCAAATCAATAGTATAGTTATATTTTACAATCGCACCCCTCGTGGAAGAAAGGCATAAGTGGAGTTACGTCAAAAATGTTTATTGCTCCGTTACATACAGAAAAATATAACCCACATCCTCTCCAATTCCTGTAACTCTATCTACAATATTAGTCGATAGAGTCACAAGAATTGTAGAGGATGTGCGTTTCTGTATCTAATCGAGCAATAAGTTTTTGACGTAACTCCACTTATGCCATTCTTCCAGGAGCGGTGCGAATTGACTACCAAGAACCTAGAAATGTGTAGATTTGGGAAATTATTTAATACTATAAGCTTTATAAATACCACTATGACAGCCACAAAAGCAAATTTTCAGGGGTATAGCTACTCTTTCTTAAGTATGTCGTTATTAAATAGCAACCAATACTGTCAAATGAGAAAGAGAACATTTTTAACCGACATCAAGAAGAGGTTCTCAATTCGACTGTGTATTTTTTTGCATGTATGTTACGCGATAATTTTAGCATTTGTGAACCGATTTTGATGATTCTTTTTTTGTTGGAAATAGGGTACCTCAGATGAGGTCCCATTTAAATTTCACGAAAGTATTCCACCTCTAAGGGTGGCAAACTAGGGGATGACAGACTTTTGAAGTCGGTTTTTCAGTACTCTGTATTGAGATTATTGAACATTTGTTACAAAGTGTCATGAACACTGAAAGGTTTGACAAAAAAAAGGTAAAAACAACGTTTAAATGGCAATACTGTCAATATTTTAACGTAATTAGTAGAAACAGTGTTGTTGTCGCCATCTCGTAGGATTTAGTTAACAAATAAGTTTCCGATCATAACTATGAATGTACTCCTTAACAAACAATCTAGAAGTTTCTAATACAAATTCATCATAACTAATTCTTTTTTAACTCACCATATATTTTAAATGAAACTATTTTTTCGGATGTAAATAGAGTATATTTCATCATCATCAACCTGTTTATACGTCCCACTGTTGGGCACGTGTCTCCTCTCAGGGTTGTGAAGCTTCAACGTGTTCTTCAAGATGTTTTCATTCATTGAAAAGCTCATGGTAAATTTCACACATAAATTAAGAGAATCTCGGGCCCGGATTAGAACCCACGGCCTCTGCTTAAGGCGGTAGGTAACACAATTAGGTTACCACGGCTGTAGAGTATATCAAGGTATTTAAAAAGATGTGCAGAATAGAGTGTTTTGCATAAATATTAAACATAACTGGTTGATGACTGTACCACCTCAGTCAACCATGACCATGGGACCTGTAAAGGGCCCGAAACATTGGTTTGTTTGAAAAAACAAATATACGCGACTTAGAACCGAAAAAAAAATTTCATATCCAACGCATATTATTAAGACTATTGTTTAAAACTCGCGCAGTTTCTAACTTCTCATACAAATTGAAAAACCACTGACGTAGATTTGTATGAGAGGTCATACAAATGTTATTGCGTAGTTCTGAAAATCAATTAACAAAATTTTGTCGTATTTAAAGGTTCCTATATCGTCAGCACTGTTGACGGTAAAGCGTGCTAATAACACGTTTGACCTGTTGCGTGTTGAGAAGTGGGTTCTCACCCTTAATAACCAACGAACTTAATGACTCTTGTAAAGATAAATTAGTTGTTTCAATAGCCCACCAGCACGTGCGAAATTGGACACTATGTGCATGCAAATCGATACCTCCCTAGTAAGTTGTTCTAAGTCAAAATACCACTTTTTGCTTTTTAACTTAAATATTGCTTTTTTTATGTATAGTATAGGTTCCATGTTTGAAAGTAAACAAAGCACTAAGTGATTTCTTTACTTTTATACATGGAAACAGTAATATGTACTTAAAAAAAGGATATATTTAATTTAAAAAGCAAAAAAGGTATTTCGACTTACAACATCTTACGTGGGAGATATCGAATTAAGGTACAATTTATAACGTAATTGCACGAATTGTGGATTCAATTTTGTATGTCTATAACTGGGAGAAATTCAACGATTCATTTATGTGTCGGTTCCCATACAAAAACAGTTGAAAAATCTTACAGGCGCTGCGCAAATGTAGTTTCAAAGAGCAACTGGTAGTGATTTCTCTGTAGACACTGTGGTTTCCTACTGC